TCAGCTCATATTGACTGGTGAGTACTGACAATTTTTCTCTTCCTGACTCTTTTCTTTGTTCTTTCTTTTTCCTCACCTGTCCTCGACATTTTGAACAGTAGGCTGATAGTGTTAGTGCTTAATCAATTTCATTTTGAGTCCTCATTGAATAGTTTTAGCAAGCTCCACACTCTGAGTTATCTTTTTTTTAATTTATTCATAAAGTTATCGGTATAATAAATGGCTAAAAAAATAGTATATACAATCATTAAATCTGTGATCAAAGCAATAGTCCAGACCTAATAATCATTTTTCTAATCGGTAGCTAAAGCATCATAGTCCAGACCTAATGATTATTATGCTTCACACTTACTGTATTTAGCCCCCATAATTGATGTGCTGTTTTGTATGTACAGGGTCTTTGCCTTAGCCCGTGTGAGGATTTCCAATATCTCCCAGCATCCTCCAAAGTCTTTCATGGACGCCTCGAGCAGAGGTTATAAATAAATTCTAAGGGGCCCAAAAGGGGGCCATTTTTTTTCTTTTTATGTTTTAACAAGAGTGATATTTAGTGATATAATAGTGACATGAAATTTGGTGGTCACAGTGCAAACCTGTTTTAAATAGGCTGATTTACTAACATACAGTGTTTAAAATTGGTTTCAATACAGTTATTCGGTAAGCAGATGTGCTTTGGTAAGTAAATAGTTTGAAAGTCTTGTTGGAATTTATGTACGAATAAAGAAATAGAGAGAAAAAAAATGAAATAAGTTGTGATAGTAATCGAAAAACTTCAACACTCAAAGAATTTTGCTTGAACAAATTTTTTGGTTGCTGCGTACACTTCAAAACAGTACAAATCTTTCTCCGATAAAATCTCGTTTGAAATTCTCCACTGAAATTCTTCACTGAAAGATCCCATGACAATTTTAAAACTGGAGTGCTGGAACATCTCATGTGACAAGTCTCAAGTTCTTCCAGACTTTAAATGACATTAAAACAGAGCCTGATAAATTTAATCATGTGATTACGGTAATTATTTTTTACATGACCATGTCCTCTTGCATCAACATTAACCAAGTATTTTTTTTTCTGTCTTTTTTTCAAACAGGAGCTAGACGTGAAGGCTGGTGGTGGCCATGTTATGACCATAGGAGAGATGCTGCGTCAATGGCTTGTCAAGTTGGAATGGTACTCCACACTATTTCCACGTATACCAGTACCCATACAAGTAAGGTAGCTCCTATATATTAGCAAAATATGTAACCCCTCTAGAAATATAATTGAATTCCTTTTTTTTTCTTTTTCTAAATGTTATAATACCGGTACACAGTGTCAAAAGTTTCAACACTTATTAACCCTCGAACTGTGGCATGCATCAATCTGTAGTGTGGGAGCTTTTCAGAGCTTATTGAGTGCCTTTTGAAATTGCATTAAATGACAAAGAAATATTGATACAAGACCCCAATAATTATATTTTTAGAAAGGTAAATGGATGGGGATGAAGTTGGCTATATTGCCCACCCCATAAAATTTTTTTTTTTGCCCAGTGTCCTTGACCTTGGAGTGCTCTTTAAAAAAAAAATTTAAAAAAAAAAAATTGTCTTGCTTTCAAGTGCTCATACCATCATTCATTTTTATAGATACACTTAAGACATAATCTAAATGTTGTAGCCAATTCATTTTTCTTTCAGAAAATGTATAGTTTGCTAAGGTTTTGATAACAATTTAACCCCTGAAAGTTTAAGTAATTTTAGGTCCTTTTTATAAGAAACTGGGACCACAGCTAAAACCAAGGACAAAATACAAAATCTCAGGCAAAATAGTTATCACTGACCAGTAAACATTTAAAATGGAACTGTGGAACTGATTTTCGTTGTTTAACTATAAAATGTATTAGTTCTGATCTATAATCTGTAGCTTCTGGCAATTCTGTGACTTAAATTCAGTCAGTCCTTGCCCAACCTCCGGGCCTGGCTGGAAGTCTCACAGTATGCCTACTTCAGTATCACGAAGACTAGTATCAGATTCACGAAAAGAAGAATCTGAAGTGAGATGTCGTGGGGAATGTTAAAATCATCATCAGAATCACTTAAATCCTCTCCTAAAAAGCTTCCAAAAATATTTATACAAGTTCTCGCACTGAAGGCCCAGCCACAGCTTCAGCCATTTTAGCTTTTAAAAAAAACAGCGATATAAAATTTCGATTAAAAGGTACTTATTGTCAAGTTATCAAGAAACAGCTTGACTCGAATGTTAATTTAATTATTGATAAAAGGAAGTGGCTATGATTCCGTTTAAATATTGGAATGACAATTGCTATCGGACCGTATTTTTTATCGGCTGATTTTTTCGGCTGCCACAGCACAGAACGTGAATATCTGCCGACCACAGTTCGGGGGTTAAAAATGTAAAAAAAATTTTGATATGACACAAACCATGGCCAAACAATTTTAATTATGCACATATCTTTTCCATGGACACTTGATAAATCCCCTATAGTTGAGTATTATTGGCTTCTTGAGAGTTGATAAGTCAATAAGCCGAATTTTTACCTTTCCTTTTGCAGAAAGATATTGACTTGAAACTGAGGTCAAGACCAGTGACAGGTGGTTACCATGGTTATGGGGAGGAAGTGACAGAGGAACAAGAGCCAGAACATATACCAGACGATCAAGTGTCATTTGGCGAGGCAGAGAGAGCAGCTATGTCTCAGAGAGGGTGAGCATGTTGGGCTTGTATAATGTTGTAATATGCGACGGACTGCATTCGAGCTGTGTGAAGTAAATGAATAGTGAAATAAAGTATGTTTTGGCTTGAAAAGAAGCCATTAACAGAAATTAACGGTCCTGTCTTTCTTTTCAAGTCTAAACCTATTTTGTTCTATTATGCAATTATATGGGGAAAGAAGCTCCGCTACTATTGGGATAGATGGCAGTTTTTTAAAAAATTGAACATTTTATTTCACATTTATTTCCTACCTTAGTAAATGGTTAAAGATCTAATTTCTAGGCGAGGTGGTGTTGGTGGAGCAGGTTATAACAGAGATGACTACAAAAATGGCAGTTCTCGTCGTAGCCCTTACAGGCGATATTCTCCTCCTAAAAGACGATCACCGCTGAGGCGACCAAACTCTCCTAGACGCAGTCCTTATTCCAAGTTAGTACCCCTTGTCTGAATTGTTTTTTTCCTAACTTATGTAAGTTTTAAAAAGGCCACAGATGGAATTTTCTGAAAGTTATTCATCTGTTTTAAGTTATTCTTTGTTGGTTTTCCCAATCTGAAATTGTTGTATTATGCAAAGGTAAAAAAATATTTATTCATTTGAAAATTATTTCACAGATCATCTGATGATTTTACAAGGGAATTAGAAAAAGAACGAGAACGTCAACGTAGGGAGAAAGAAAAAGATCACAAACACAGCAAGCATAGCAAACACAGGTCTCGTTCACGGGAACATAAAAGGTCCAGATCTCAAGAAAAAAAGCACTCACACAGTCGAGAACTTAAAGATCGTTCATCCTCATCTTCTCACCTCAAAGAAAGAGAAACCCCATCTCACCGCCGTGTCAGGGACGTGTCCCCTCGTCACAAAGATATATCACCTCGTCATAAAGAAACACCTCCCCGTCACCGGGACAAAGAAATATCCCCACCCCATCGCAGCAAAGATATATCGCCACTTTATCGCGACAGAGAAACGTCAGCTTCACCCAGGGATTTATCACCTAGCCACCGTGACAAAGAGCCGACACCAGCACGTCATCGAGACAGAGAAAGTTCACCATCGCAAAAAAGAGATAGGGAAGTATCTCCTCACAAAAGAGAAAGTTTATCTCACCACCACAGCAAGCACAGGAAAGATGAGAAGAAGCACAAACATAAAGACAAAGAGAGGAGGCATTAGATAGATTTGTGTACATGTCTCATTTGGGCCTGATTGCCGGATGAAAGCAGAGAAATAACTGAATGTGCCTCACATGAGGTTGTATGGTGTCATGCAAAGAGTGGGTTGTTTGAATAGCATATAACTTAGCTTTTGTGGATTTCTTTCCCACAAAAGGATGTGAATATATAAAAAAAACTCTTAATTCTGATTTTGTCAAGTTTTTAAAACCACTTTTGGCATTCACATTTTTAAAAATTATATTTTTATGAGGTGTGGTTTACTTCTTGACAGTTTTTATTTCAATTGTTTGTATATATATATCCAGTCCACCTAGTGAAGGTAAGGCTGTTAGGTTTGGTGTACCTTACACAGACAAGTTATAACTATTTAGGATTAAAGCTCATGCTATATACTTCATGAATGTCACTTAATCAGTTTTATGATGAATTAAAAATAAAAATTTAAAAATATTTCTCAAGTAGACAAAATAATAATACCCTAACCTTTTTAAAGAGGCATTGGGAAATTTAAAAGGAGTATATATGGTTAATTATTATTGAAGAGCCACTTTTATTTAAAGCTTAATGGATCATAATAAAAATGGCTTGTCAAAAAAGAAAATATATCAATAATGTTAAATAATGTCTACATTCTGTGTCAACATTAAAAACTCATATTGAAAATATTGCAATGGAACATTTCCTTTAATTTTTGCTCATGTCATTGTTTAAAAAAAAACATGTTAAAAATAGTTATTCATTTTGCATTTAAATTATGTACAAGTGATGAAAAACATATTCCAACTTATGGTATTCATTAAAATAGATACCATTCGGTATTCATTAAAATAGATAACATTCGTAACTTAATCATAATCATGTCTCAATGAATTGGCTGGGGGGAATAATTGTGTAAATAAGCTCCTCACCCAGTTTATAATGTTTTACAGTGTAAATTTATAGTTTAATGATCACTTCAGTTGTTTTATTTTTAAAAATAAAGAGGCAGCATATTGCATTAGACAAGGTTTTATGTATGTAGTATGAAGACAATTGTTTAATCTTTTTCAAAGGTTGAACAATACTTTTAGATACTTGTAATTTTTTTCTTCCTATTTTTTTTATTACTCTATGCAGTATAATAAGTTATGTTATCAGGATATTTTTCATTTCAATAACTCACGTTAATAAGTTTTAGAATTGTTGAGTATCAGTGCTCTTAGAAAAATAAACTCATTTTATTTAAGTGACATGTTTCATAAATATATAATAAGTGTTCAAGGTGAACACAACCACCTTTTTTACATGTTATGAATCAATACCTGGTCTAATTTCTTAACACATGATTTCCATGTATGTAATTGTTTGTAAAGATGGGAGACAAAGATTGTTGCCAAATGTAATGATCCTGTGAGGGACTAGTTTATATTAAACAAAAATTAAACTACATCTGTGATTATTTGATTCATACCTTCTTTGTAAATGTGTCAGTGCTCAGCTTTTTTCCCTTTCAATTCATTGTAAAAACATCCAACAAGCAAACAAACTAAAACATAGAATCATAGATGCATTATTTGAAATATTTATATGCAGTTGATGATATAGTGGAGAGATGAGTTTATACAATATCCACTTGTTCCTTTTGTAGTTACTTGGTCAGCCCCCATGTAGTGTGGATATAAAAATTACCCTGTCATTTTCTTGAATCTCATAATCAAGTTCACCCTGAAATAATAAAATATGCCAGCTGTACTGTAAGTAATATTTTAGTGAAAGACCCGTTTGGATTAAATCTTTCAGTTAAGAGATGGTGGCGATATGTTTATCGATGCATTCCATTAATTAACTTTGGACTTGGTTAACACTTCAATTATTTTTTTTTTGGTCTCTTAACTTCCATATAGGCCAGCAACACATTTTCTCTGGTTTTTCCTTTGAAATTCACTTTCTGTCTTCAACAACTTTCTCAGCTTCTCTTTCCTCCCAAGAATTCCCTTTTTTCTGCTAGCAAAAACTCTACTAGTTTTGGGTACGGTATAAAGAATTAAAATTAGTACACATTTTTGTATATTTATCGTATAGTAACAAATTCAACTTACCATGAGCTCCCAATCGGCATCATTGATTAAAACAAGAATACCCGGCCTTCTGAAAATTACATGATTTTTGGCATGTAAATGAAAGCAGCAACTTGACTTTAATAAAAGGTACTTACCGTTTAAATGAAATAACTAAGTGTTGAAAATAAAAATAATAGCACTTCAAAGAAACAATAAATCATGCAAGCTATCTCTTGTTAATGAGAATAAAAAAATATATTTTAGTAATAAATTGATAGTTTGATTGCTTTACTCCACCGACTAGATATTCTGGTTTAACCCATTCCACCTCAACTGGGTGTAATACACTGGGAGGACACAGACTGGGATTGCTGATAACAGTGATATCTCGAGTCTCCTTAGCTTCAGTGAAAGATGCTATGTGATCTTTGAAGGGATTTTGGTTTCAAGTCAACAAAATCATGCCACATTGTAAAAAGAAAATAACATAAAGAGAGTCATTTACTGTGATAAAAGACTATGGGCTGGTGTAACCCACCCAGTTGGCAGGAATCAACAGAAACACTTTTTCCCATTATAATAAGTGTACGGGTGTGCTACAGGTACTGGTGGATAGAGACAGGATATGCAATATATGCAGCTGAAAGGGTTAAGCAAATCATAATCAATATAAATTCCTTCAAAGAGGCAAATTATCTATGGTAGTACCGGTAGGTACATTAAGATATCTTTTACATGCCTATGTTTCAAACAGAATTTTTTTCCCAAAGAGTTAAAAATGTTCTGCAACTGATATTATGCATGCAATGCTTACACTGTGTCTCCCTGTATGAAAAGCTCTGGTCTCTCTTTGATAATATTTTCTTGAAGCCATTTTAATAAGTTTCGTATTAGCCCTGTTAATAAGATAAAATAAATCTTTTAATTGTAATATTCTTATAAATAAGTAGTTGTTTACACAATACATGTCACGTATATGACATCGCGTAGGCTGTGCAATAGAACAAAATTTATTATATTATATACTTGAATGCAATGTCTGGTACCTATATTTGTTATGGTAATCTAGCATCTGAAAGCGAAGACAAATGACTCTGCAGACTTCAGCAATTATATATAGACATAAGCTAGACATCAATGAATATTTAAAGAAAAAATAAAACAAGTTCTAGCTCTGGTTAGCAACATTTTTTGTCCTTTATAAAGCTTTATCTTATTTTATAATTCCTTAGGAATAAATTCAACTTATTGCATAAACAGATAACAGTAAGCTGAATAAAATTTAATCCAACTACCACCATTTACTTCCCAATCAGTTAATGTCTTAGTTTACAAGTGTTGCCTTCTGAAGTGAAATGAACAAATAAAGAAGGGTGCAAGCATTTGCACTGCCTTTTTCAATCATGACAAAAGGAATTTTTCAGATAACATTTGAAAAGGAACATGCCAAAAGAGCAAAAAAACATGTACATTTTTCGGGTTGTGATTTAACATGTTAAATACAACAATACCATTTGACATCTACAATTTACAACTGACATCCATACCCATCTCTGTTCATCTTGACTTACTCTTGCCATTTGACACGGGTGGGTCAGGACGTAAGAGTGCGGTTGACGATGCACAACTCTTCCTCACTTTAAAAAAAGTCATCAGTCACCCAGCAGCCATCATCCTAAGTCCTGTGACGATGGGCAAGCAGCGATGCGACAGGTGTAGAGCCATAGCCGAAAGCTGCACACAGGCGACACTAGCTATAGGGTTGTTCTTCACTGATCGGAGCAAAAGTGGAGTTTGGCAGCCACCTGAGTGTCTGAGCAGCCCTTTTCAGGACAGCACTGCTCACCTTCCTGCATGAGGAAGGGGCTAGGAAAGGTGCCCCGAACATTGCCTACTACTTAACACCCTGGCCGGCTAACCGCGGTTTGCGGTGACCCAATTTTGATGTCGAAAAACAGAAAAACTCGATTTCACTTAAAATTGCCACATGAAATATCCGCACCCTGCTTGACAGGGACAATTCTAACAGACCTCAACGACGCAAAGCACTCATTGTCCATGAACTTGCCAGATACAACATAGACATCGCTACTCTCAGTGAAACCAGACTCTCTGATATAGGTGAACTCACAGAAATGCCTTGCTGGCTATTCTTTCTTTTGGAGCGGACGTGACTCTTACGCAAGGTGAGAAGCTGGAGTCAGCTTTGCTATCAAAACCTCTCTTGGAAGCAAGCTCCCCAAAAGGTATCAATGACCGTCTCATGACGATGAAACTTCCCTGCCCCCTTTGCCATGGAAAGAAGGTAGCCACCATAGTCAGTGCCTATGCACCCACCATGACAAATACAGAAGAAACTATGGATAAGTTTTATGAAGACCTGATCACTGTCATCTCTTCCACTTCAACTGCTGGCTGACGGAAACTGTACCACAGGACTTCAAAGATGCCTTCATTATCCACCTGTACAAACACAAAGAAAACCACCAGGCCTGTGACAATCACCGCGGAATTTCACTGTTGTCCATTGCAGGCAAGATCTTGGCCCGAGCCCGCCTGAAAGCACATCTGGAGCTAGGTATCCTACCCGAAAGTCAATGCGGTTTTCGCAAAGAACGCAGGACTATCGACATGGTGTTTGCGGCCAGGAGCAAAATACTGTCCTATAATCCTCTGAATATGGCGTTTGTCACAGTCAACAGAAATGGCCAACAGAAAATCATGAAGTAGTACGGATGCCCAGATAGGTTCACCAGCATCATCCGTCAGATGCATGATGGCCCAAGTCCAGGACAACGGTCTGTCATCTCAAGCATTCCCTGTCCCAAATCGAGAGAAGCAGTGCTGTGTCGTGGTTCCCACACTCTTCAGTATCATGTATTCTGCAATGCTGTCTGATACGTTCAAGAACTCCACCACAGGGTTGCCAATCTGTTTTCAGACTGATGGATCAGACTTCAACCTTAGGAGTAACACCATCAACGAGATACTGATTGCGGGCGACTGTGAGCTCAACGCTGCCTCAGAAGCCGACATGCAACACAGCGTTGATATCTTCTCTGAGGCCTTCAACAACTTTGGCCTAACAACGCAAAGAAAATTAAGGTATCAGCCATCTTCCAGGAAGCCCTGCATTGAACCCAGCATCACCATCAGCGGACAGCATCTAAACGCAGTGGAAAAATTTACCTACTTGGGAAGCATCCTCTCCAGATCTGTCATCATGGATGACAAAATGAATGCCAGACTTGCAAAAGCGAGTGCAATATTTGGCAGGCCCCAGCAGCACCATTGGGACAGGAGGGGTATCAGACATGAAACAAAGATCAAGGTATATAGCGCAGCAGTCCTCTCGACATTGCTCTACGGATTTGAAACGTGGACATTCTACCAGCGTCACGTCAAGAAACTAAACCACTTTCACACAACCTGCCTAAGGAAACTCCTTGGCATCAGGTGGCAAGACAAAGTGCCTGACACAGAGGAACTAGCATCTTCACCTCCCTGAAGCAGTCTCAACTGTATTGGGCAGGACACGTAGCTTCCTAAACAGCTACTCTTCAATGAACTTGTGCTAGGCAAGCGCTCTCCAGGAGGTCAAAGAAAACGATATAAAGACATGCTGAAAGCATCACTAAAGGCCTTCAAGAACAACCCTATTGAATGGGTACCCAGACAACCCAGGACAGCTCAGAGCGAGTGAATATCAGCTTACAAGGAGGGAGATCAATCTCATGAAGCCAGAAGATGGCGAAAGCTGAGAAAGGCAGGCTGGCCCGAAAAGGCAGCCTCAGACGACCGACTTCCGCAACTATCCCCTGCCCGCGGTGCCAGACTATTCCGAGTGCGGATCTGTCTAGTAAGCCACCTAGGCACTCACTGTGGCCCACCCCACCCCTAACTGGATGACTAGATGGTCCTTGTTGATTTGACGGACAAACAACATCTGACATTCATAATATACATGTGTAAAAATTGAATAATGTTATTTTTCTACTTAATTTAAGGATAGTTTATTTTTAAAAATGAATGATTTTCATTTAAAGATAATTATAATTTACATGTTTCTTCCTTCTTTGGTAAAGTAAGACTGTGCTTCTTGACATTTCTGCACAACAATTCTGCACCACCACTGAAATAAAAGAATAATGCTATCTAAATAATATAGTTATTAGGTCATAGGGGTAGAAGGATTTATAGAGTAATTAGGATGCAGTGCAGGCAGGCAAAGGTAATCAACAAAGACGTAGGAGTAGGGTTACTGATTTTGTCTTCTGAACAAACTCAGTTTCTAACTTATTCAGATTAACAAGAAACATCAAATCTTATACAACTTGTTAAAACATTCAATACGTCACATTTATCACTTGAGCATAGTAAAATTAAAGGACTAAAATTTCATTCGACCTGATGATTTTTAACTTAAAATCCCCGCTTTCTGTTTATCAAACCTTTGTCATGTAGCTTATCAGAATTTAGCTAATTGAACAGAGAATATTAATAAAAAATTTAGGGGTAAAAAAAATTCCACTCACCAGCCCATAAATCAGGTAAGAATAATCCAATCAATATCATTTTTTCAACAAATAAGCCTTATTATAAAACAGAAGTATGAGGAAAGTTTTGATCAATATAGCTTAGTTATGAATTTTTTCTCAACACAGGTGCCTTGAATAAATGTTCCAGAAGTTAATAATAAAAATTATTATATAAGAACACAAAATATTTATTATATAAACAAATCAGGCCATTATTTTGAGTGAAAGACCATGAAGCATTCTTTAGGATGAAGGTGAGGTTTGGCCTGACAATCAGTGTAATGAAAGTGTGTGCCTATCTGTTTATTATCAGTAGCAGTAGTGCAATAGGCACACCAGCAGTTCCATTCTTAGTAATCTATGATGTGTTGCGATTCTATTGTCTCTCCCCTTCTTCTTCTATGGGCCCATGATCAATGTACTGATCATTCTGGCTCCTATTCATGGAGAGGGAATATTTTATGTTTATGTGCGTGATATTGAAGAGGATATTTCACTGGTTACTCAGCAAGGGTATCGGGAACTGGGGGTTGGAAGGCCTGAGGCAATAGAAGCAAATGTGTCAAGTGTTGTTGTCTCAAATGTTCCTTTTGGAAGCTTGTTCCAGTCCGTGATTGACTTTGGTAGGAATAAGGAGTTCCTGCACCATGTTCTTGCTGTTATGAGCAGGTAATGCCAATTAATGCCTCGTCACTGTCTAGGGGGGAGAGGGACGGATTTTTGTTTATTTTTGGAGCAGTTGACTTCCCCGTTTTTTTATCTTGTACTTCATGGAAAGCCTGGATGATCATAGATTCAGACAACAATTACTGATGCAGTGAATGACTACATACCACACAAGACCACCAAACCTAAGACAAATCAGACATGGATCATGGCTTAAATCCATAGGTTCTTCCACAGAAGTGACCGCCAGTACAAGCGATTGAAGAAGAATGGCTAGTTTGAACAGAAAGTCGAGGTGTTGAGGCCATCTGAACCATCCAACGCTTACTGCATAGATCTTACTGGAACTACCTGAGCAGCATCTTCTCAGAGGAAGACACTCTGACCAATGGTGTCAAGAACAAGCATTTCTGGAGCTACATCAAGCACCAAAAGTCCTCAAACACTGGAGTTTTCTCCCTTAGGTGGGATGACCCTTTGACATCTTACCCAAAAGCACAGGCAGACATACTCAATCAGCAGTTCCAGTTGATCTTTGGTGACGGTTGTGTTATATATAGACGCCCCATTTACTTTCATTCATCTTTTCTGGTGAATAAACTTAAGCTGAGCCCAATTCGGCTGCACTGTGTTATTAGTAAGGAGTAGTTTACTGATTATAGTCTCCCTTTGACCTCGGCTACACCTAACAAAAAATCCATAGTCTGTTTATTATTTGAATTCTGTAGAATATTGTAGAAGGTTAAAGAGACGATTGCAATGTGTAGTCTGGCCTATGGAAGCATTTAAGAAACAGGCTATATATAAGCCGAGAGATTGAATGACAAGACCAGAGTTATTTTAAATGTGTGCTTTCTTGGCTAGAGAGCTCTGTTTACTGTGTGTGTGTAGATCTAGATTTCTTTTCACCATTTTACCCCTTTTTGCACATTGTGTTTTATTCAACATGGTACTGGTACAAGCCAAACAGTATTTAAGTCAATAGTTTTAATTATATTTCTTTTTGATTTTGTTATTTATTATTTACTTAATAAAACTTATTTATTTGTAGTTAGCCCTGGTTTGATTATCATATTCTTTGTTATTGTTTTTAACATATGGTGTCTTTTGTTGTGTACTTAAATAAGCATTTAATTTCTCCATACTGATAACAGTACATAACAGTAGAGAGTACACAGAGGTTGAGTTCCATCAGAAGACCATAATAATGAGCAGAGCCTACCCTCTCATGGAAGATATCCAGATTTCAGAGCAGGGTGTGCTGGCCTTTCTCAAAACCATTAAACCTTACAAAGCATGTGGTCCCGACAACATCAAACCACCAGGGCTCAAAGAATTAGCCAATGAAATCGCTCCTGCACTGACAATCCTCTTCCAATCATTGCTTTTCACAGACAATGTTCCAACAGACTGTAGAGCATTCCGACGCTGCCAACTACCGTCCGGTATCTCTCACCAGCGTGGTATGCAAACTGTTAAGCACATAACAGTAAGCGCAGTCATGAGGCATCTTGAATGCCACAATATACTCCATGACTGTCAGCATGGCTTCTGAGTAAACAGATCATGTGAGACCCAGCTCCCTGAATTTGTAGAAGACTTGATGACCAATGTGGAGAAGAGCAAGGAAACTGACGTGCTGGTGATCGACTTCTCAAAGCAAAACATGGATCCTCAGAAACTGAAGCCAGACAGTAGTGGTGGACGGTACAAGCTCCACCTTTATGTTAAGTCAGGGTTTACCCAGGGCTCGGTGCTAGGCCCCTGTTTGTTCCTAGCATATATCAATGACCTACCCGAGAAACTGACATCCCAAGCAAGACTATTAGCAGATGACACTGCAGTGTACAGGATGATCTCCAACAGATATGACCAGGACCAGCTACAACAGGATCTCCATCAGTTAGCTGAGTGGAAGATGAGCTGGGACATGGGATTTCCTCCTGCCAAGTGCCAGACACTGTCAGTCTCCAAAAGTAGAGCCACTCTACACCACTCTTACAAACTGCATGGCCATTTCCTTGAGCCAGTTTCATCAGTAAGGTACCTTGGTGTTAGAATTCAAAGAGATTTTCGCTGGAACGAACATATTAACAATGTGTGCAACCAGGCAAACAAGACCCTGGGGTTCTTACGGCGAAATCTAAAGATCAGCAAAACTCAGGCCTGAGAGACAAAGGCATATAAACCCTTTTTAGATGACGCATATTCAGTCTGGGACCCATTCACCCAGAGGAGCTTTGACAGATTGGCCACAGTCCAGCAACGGCAGCATGCTTCATCCTTAACCGCTACAAGTACACCTCTAGTGTTGGCAGCATGCTTCATCCTTAACCGCTACAAGTACACCTCTAGTGTTGGCAGCATGCTTCATCCTTAACCGCTACAAGTACACCTCTAGTGTTGGCAGCATGCTTCATCCTTAACCGCTACAAGTACACCTCTAGTGTTGGCAGCATGCTTCATCCTTAACCGCTACAAGTACACCTCTAGTGTTGGCAGCATGCTTCGTCCTTAACCACTACAAGTACACCTCTAGTGTTGGCAGCATGCTTCGTACTTAACCGCTACAAGTACACCTCCAGTTTTGGCAGCACGCTTCATCCTTAACCACTACAAGTACACCTCTAGTGTTGGCAGCATGCTTCATACTTAACCGCTACAAGTACACCTCTAGTGTTGGCAGCATGCTTCATCCTTAACCGCTACAAGTACACCTCTAGTGTTGGCAGCATGCTTCGTCCTTAACCGCTACAAGTACACCTCTAGTGTTGGCAGCATGCTTCGTCCTTAACCACTACAAGTACACCTCTAGTGTTGGCAGCATGCTTCGTACTTAACCGCTACAAGTACACCTCCAGTTTTGGCACCACGCTTCATCCTTAACCGCTACAAGTACACCTCTAGCATTGGCAGCATGCTTCGTCCTTAACCGCTACAAGTACACCTCTAGTGTTGGCAGCATGCTTCGTACTTAACCGCTACAAGTACACCTCTAGTGTTGGCAGCATGCTTCATCCTTAACCGCTACAAGTACACCTCTAGTGTTGGCAGCATGCTGGAAACACTGGGCTGTCACCATTGGTGGAGCGAATGAACGAAGCGTGCTGCCAACACTAGAGGTGTTCCTAAAGCAACACTAATCTCCTGCATGTTAGAGCTCACTGCACTTCTCAGGCTATCCCATTCTGTCTTGACATAAATGGGGATGTCTCGTATGACCTGCTTCTTTTTTAGTGCGCTGACCTTAAATTCACAATGTGGTATGCAGTGGTCTGATATACCGGGGATGACCTCAAATCTTGGGATGAGGTGTGGACAGTTGGTTAGGAATAGATCAAAAGTGTTTCCCCTCTCATGGGTTCTTTAGCCAGGTGTTCCAGACCATGGTTGTTAATCATGTCCATGAAGTCAGAGTGTAGGACAGGATATGGGGACTTGGGCTTCAGGCCAGGAATCTGCAAATTCCAACCAGGAAAGTTATAACCCCCCCCCCAAAAAAAAATATTGGGCTCTGTCTCTGGAACCTTTCCTGGTGTTCTTCCCATTGGATCAAATGCTACATTCCCAGTTAGCTGACCTATCAATGTAAGTCTATTGTCTTTGGACTCATTCTGTTTTGATCTGCTGCTTGCCATAGTTAACACAAAATGTAGGAATTCACCTGGGTGATTTTATGGTTTTTCTTTCATACACAGAGTAGTATGTTACCTTCTGATTTAGTTTATCAGTCATTCATTTTTTTTAAAATTATTAATGTAAATCATTTCAGGTTTGTCCATTTTCTTGGTGTTGCTAGTATGTACCCTTGCATCAGTCGACACATTATTAATATTCTTTTTATCTCCTAAAGCAACACAAAAGCATGCTTTTTGTGTTGTTAAGGTACCAATTCATTTCTTTCAATTGTAAAGATAAAGACTTTACCTCCAATGGAAAGCCAACACTCTTAATGTTAAGAGTTCCTGTATATTGATTTTTAGCAGGGAGTTTTCTGACTGTGTAGTATCTGTCAGCAAAAAGTTTGTGACCAGTTCTTACATATTGGAGCAGAGTGTGAAAAACTTGTCCTCCATCACTATCTACTACTTCTTTTCTTCTTCTTCTTTATCTTAAGGGCCCACGATCAATTTATTGATCATTTTGGCTCCTATGCATGTAGATGGGATTTGCAATGTTTCTGTTCCTGGTGTTGATGAGGAAATTTCACAGATTTCCAGTGCCACTTTGTGAGGGAATCATGCACTAGGGGTTTGAAGGCTTGAGGCAATAGACACAAATGTGTCTAGTGTTGTCGCCTCAACCGTTCCTTTTGAAAGATTGTTCCAGTCCCTGATTGTCTTGGGCAGGAATGAGCAGCTCCTATACTGGCTTCTTGCTGGTATGAGCCTGAATTGCCTGTCATGGCCTCGTCGCTGTCTATGGGGAGAGGGACAAGTTTCTGTTTAATACTGGAATTATTTTTAGATTTCGCCTTTGGTTACATACATTGTTAATATGCTCGTCCCAGCGGACCTCTCTTTGAATGGTAACACCCAGGTACTTTACGGAGGAAACTTGCTCAAGGTCATATGAAGTGTTTGCAACAAAATATGTCAAAATTTCTACAACATAACCATTGGAGAACTCGCACATACCAAATGTTTTTATGTGGTACTTGCTAGGCTTACTGACATTGCATTGTTTAAACTGCTATCTCCCCTTATAACCTATCATTACCATTTCATCTTTACTAAGTTCTAGAAAGGGAAATGCATTCTGAACTTACTCAGGTGTAGGTTCATAAAAGGTTCAATTTTATCCTTGCCTGCGGATGTTTCATCGACCCTCTCTCTGTTAAATACATGGTGTATCCAAGGGAAATATGATTCAGCTGACATAGACCAATAATCCACAAGAGCTGGCCTTTTATACATGCCCATATAAATCAAAATGGCTATGAACTTATCTAGATCATGTCTAGATATGTCTTTCTATCTACTAAATACAGAGCATCTAAGTGCAGGTGTGTGTTAACTTGTGCTTTTCTTTAGGCATAAGCCTTTTTTTTCTTATATGAGCTATATAAATAAAAGGACCAACAAATACTCCTACATGAATAAATGGATCTTGACCGAACTTAGCTCTCATACATGTGATTATTCATATTCAAATACTGAAGGGTACTGAACTCATAACATCCATTCCTCTGGGGCTGGGGGCCCCGTTTAATTTTTCCTTATATAAGCTATATAAATATCAACACTATAGATTCTATGTGAATTGATGGATCTAGGCCTAGTTTTGTAGCAATACCCATCATTGTCCATATTAGATCCAATCCTGAATTTTCCAGAAAGTGCGATAATTTTAAAAAGCTTTATCTATGGCATTTTTACTAGATTTCTTATGGGACAAATTTTAAATTTTAACTTTATTATTTATCTGATACTGATAGATTTTTATACGGCCCCTATCCCAGGCTAATTCAGTACAATTATGGAATGGCCACCGCTGGGGCCCCTCTTTCAACCTAAAATACTATTGGTATAGAAGTGCATTTGTTGTATAATTTTTCGTAACGGTATTCCAAAAATAATTACTTAGAAAAGACATTTTTTACATATTTCAAGGAGGGTATTAATTTTAATCTAGAATGTTCCAGAAAGTTCTATATTGTTCTATGGGGATATATAATCGGATCTAAAAGCTTATTGAAATTTTAAATGGTGCAGTTTTTTGGTTTATACGCTAACTTTGTGAGGCAACAAAAAACTTTAATACAACTATGGAATTTCTCGTAAGGCACTCGTAACAATTGCTATGTGGGTTGTAAACTGGCTACGCATGTCAAGTATGAGAGTTCTCTATAACTACCGGGATCTGGATCTCACCGGAAACGGGATCTCGTTGGAACCGGTATCCCACCGGGATCTCACTGGGCTTGAGATCCTACCGAGATCCGGATCTCACCGCAAATGGGATCCCACCGGATTGGGATCTCATTTGGATTGGGATACCACCGGAAACAGGATCTCACCGGGATCAGGATCCCACCGGGATCGGGATCCACCGTGACCGGGATTCTACCGGGATCGTGATACCACCATGACCAAAATTCTACCAGAATCAGGATCCCATCATTATCTTTCTGGACAATGGGTTGCCATCGAAAAAACAAAAGGTTTACATAAGTTATTCCAAGTGTTTTTATAGGAGACAAATTAATTATAATTTTTTAAAAAAATATGGTGTTGTGGTTTTGTTGTTGAAATTTTGCTTACTTAATAGCAATGTGAATTAAAAGGAAGTAGCAGATGTTTTTTTCTGAATGCAATCCCGGGAAACTCCGGTTATATTTGATAGTAATGTTTTAAAATAAATACAACATTTATTTTAACAAAGATTCATCTTATTGGGCAACTTTTATAATATATCTTTAAAGACAGAAGAGTTATCCTTGATTTACCACAATGGCTCCATAAAATACAAAAGATTCATGAAAATGTACTTTTTTTATCTCGTAAAATTTGTTTAATTGTTGTTGCATTCCACTAAAAAGATGGTATTTTTTTACTTTTAAAATACTTTTTAAAAAGAATTAACATAAGTTTACACTCAAAAATAAGAAATTCAAACAGAAATAATATATGCACCTGAACTCCACTTTTACCACTTTATTAATAATACTTTTATGATTAAACTTTATCTTTAATAATCTTTATTTTATAATAAGATGAATAGTATAAGTCTATAACACTATAATTGACCACACTATAATTACACAAGAAACAATTGCAAATGCTTCAAAGTGCCTCAGTGCAACACAGTGCAGTATCAACAATCTTTCTTTCCATGAACAATAATAGCATGGAACAACCTGAACGATGCAACTATGAATGATGCAACTATGAACTCGACATCAGTCGGAAGCTTCAAGGCTGCCCTGGCATCAGCTAGGAGCTATTAGAATAGCAACATCATACCCCCAACCGTTGCAAAAATGCCAGTACATGGATGCAGCAATGAAACATTAACAGAACCAGAATTATAAGTATAAGTATAAGTACTTTCATTGAAAATTTTGTCTCGGTAAACTATAAAAACCCAAACAACATTATTACCTGAATTCTACTGTTATCCGGAGTGTCATTTTATATTTTAGATGAGAAACTACTTATATATTTTCTCTTGATTCGCCTGCTTTTAAAATAGTAATTGGTTTTCTTGTTTCGCTTTGCCTAAAATTTTCTTATTTACAAACTTGGCGTAAGGGATATTCAGAAGAGCTCTAAACCTGTTTTTTTTTTTTTAAATTTCGAACTGAAATGAATTTTTGCAATTGTAGTCTAGTAGCATATAAACAAATTTAAGAATGACATTTTATTACATAGTTCAAACGAATTATTATCATATTTCTTATAGCTCATTTGGCCCTTTATATTTTGAATAGGTTTATTATATATATTATATTATTAAAATAAACTGGAACAAAATATTATCTTATATGTGTAACTCTTCATTAGTAAAGTTCAATAAGACAAATTAACTTCAAGCGTCAAAATGGCGACGAAGCAACCGAGATACAGAAGTTCTGCATTTAAAACACATAAGGCTAAACAAAACATGCACTCTGTAATCTCTTCTGACGTGATGGGTAATAGAAATGTCGAAATAGTACCAGTAGGGGCATGGGTTGAGCCAGCCGATAGCGATTTACAACCCAGTGCAGTTGTGAGTAAAATGTAAAATTCTGATCATGTTGTGACTTGATTATCAATTTAATTTAATATTATTATATCATTGATATAATTATAATAAAATGGTAATACTTCTTTGGCTAATGTGAAGAGATAGCACCCTGGTTCCGATAGGATAAAAACACTGGTTCTGATAGGGTCAAAACCCAGTATAGGGATAAGTTTAGGGTTCAGGTTAGGTTTTGGACATCGAAGTGGTTATGCGCAGCCGACTGCGTATAACCCTGAGAGTTATACGCAGTCGGCAAGTCACGTGACGTCTATATTCTTCCTGTGTTACAGTATCAATCAATAAGGGTGCCTTGATATCGGGTGACTGTGTGGACGAATGGTCTAAACTGACCAATCCTCAAGTTGGTGGTTTTGAGTTCAATTCCAGCCAACGGCAAGCCATGAATACACGGTAGTTGCTATGCTTTTTCTCGAGAATGAAGCAACAACTAGGCTTATTGTTTTACTTTTTTTTTTGGCTAAAAAATGTAAAAACATGGGAAGAATTATTAACTTGACCAAGGTAATGTTAATAATGTTATACTTATAATTATCAAATATATGTTTGTGTTGTTAACTAATTTTTTGGCAGATAAAATCATGTTTCACTGGCACAGTAATAAAAATAATCATGGGTTGAGAGTAGCAGGAAAAAAATCGCCCGATAGTGGCAGGGGTTCTGTAGAGGGGGCACTGTAAGTATTGCAGGGGGTTCTGTAGAGGGGGCACTGTAAGTAGGGCAGGGGGTTCTGTAGAGGGGGCAGTGTAAGTAATACTTTCACACAGTTATAGTTTTGCATGGAAGCTGAAAACTGTTACATTTAGGTCATCAAAAAAAAAATCATAAATGATAAAATTTAAAAAAAGATAAATAGAATGTATTTCCTGAATTAGTCAGTAAAACCAATCACATAGTCATAGTCATAGCAACATATATAAACCTAATCAATCAAAATACATGACTAGACTAAGACCATGGAAATGCCTTTAAAAAAATCTAAGACTTAGACTCTAAGAAATGTAGACTTTGACTTATACTTATAATATATAAGATACAAGCAATAATACTAATAATAGCACTAATACTAATACTATTGCTATCATCAATTTCAATATTAATTAAAATTAATTCAATTAAAATTTTACTTTCAACACATCCAAAGTTCTAGTTCTAAACAACCCGTCATGCAGCTCATTACGCATAATACTTTTTTTTTTAAATTGCCAAACTAACGATAATAAACCTTATTTGGCTAAATTCCCAGCCGACTGCGTATAACCCTGAGAGTTATACGCAGTCGGCTGTGTATAACCCTCAGGGTTATGCGCAGTCGACTGCGTATAACTCTCAGGGTTATACGCAGCCGACTGCGTATAACGCTTCCCTTTGGACATGGTAATGGTAAAAAAACGAACTGTTTTAATGAAGTTCAATCAGGTAAAAAAATACATATTTATATTATTTCACTAGAAAAAATTAATCGTGCTAAAAAAATGGGGTAAATGTGAAGAGATAGCACCACATTATTTTACCATGTCCTAAATGTATCCCTAAAAAACACTTGATTGGTTACTACAACATGTATTTATTGTTTAAAAAGCCATTTCTCTACACACACTGACATAAATAGTTGTACCATAAACAAGGTATGTTTAATTAAAAAAATGTATGATTATGATATACCTACTGTGTTTCCTCTCTCTTCTAATGGATTTCCAATGCTGTGTTGTTATGACAGCGATGATCGTCATTATGCTCCCTACCCTCCACCTTTCCCTCAGAATGTGATCATCAGCATTAAGCACGCTCCCTTTCCTTCAAAGTACTCGGAATATACAGATAGCCCCTTGAAGCCTTGGGGTGTGGATGGGGGGTAGGATTTGAAGTTGATTACCGACCAAGGCAGCGGGGACACACATCACTAATTTGTGAATCAAGTTATCTGACCGAGAGTGACCGGGGATTTTGCCTTAGATCACTATATCAAAGAATGACAACGAAGGAGTTTCAGTGTCATGGTTTTAAGCAGCTGACCAGAGAAACCATGTAAAGCAGTTGGCCAATCAAAAGACGCAAAGTTTGGAGTCTCAACCTAATAGGATTCCACCAACATCAAAGAGCGACTGATGTCCAAGCCAACGATGGACAAGGGAACCAGAGGCGTGCCTCGAGCATGTGGTATTAATGTAACACCTTTGTTTAAGTTCAGCTAGGGTTGAAAAAGAGGATTTTATTACAGAGCTTCAGAACAAGATTGTTCCCGGTGTTGGAGTGGATCTGTTAACATTTCTTACTGCTCTGAGCTCCAAAATATATTTATAAATTAATTTTATAAAACTAAAATGAATAATATTCATGTTTTATTTAAACAAAATTTTATTTATTAAAATTGTTGCCCTACTCTTCTACCAAATAAGTACATTTCAAATGCACAGTTAATAAGATGAGTGATTGACAATAAATTTCCGGAGTGAAGCTGGTGGGGTCCACAAATTTGTGTCAATGTGTGATAATGTGTTAAATTTCTTTTAAACATGTGTGATGATGGGGGAAATGATAGCGTGGGGTTGTTTATTGATGGTCATCTCATACTGATGGTAAGCAAATATTTTGTCCGTGGCTGGTCAGCTCTAATTTGAGCACCCCTTCCCCTTTTTCATATGCCAATGCGCTTAATTTGACTGATTTGTGCTGACTAAAATAAGGGTGAGGGCTAATGGTTATATATTATATAATAAGACGGACTGGTAATACTGGTAGTGAGATCATTTTGTTCAAAATGGCAGGGTGACCAAGATTAACTAGAATTCAAATTGTTGATATAAATAAAATTTTAAACGATGCAGCAATACAGACTGAGATTTGGTTAATGCTCAGACTTTGTGAAGAAACAAATAACGTCGATACAATTATGGAATTTTCTGCAAGTTGCTCCATTTAAAGAAAAAAATGGAATGCAACAACAGTAGAACTGGTTATTTCGATGGCCTTGGGGTTAGCCAAAAAGTGTCGAGATAACTGAAGATCGAGATAAACGAACACCAATATGGTGGAAATATATTAACATGTGCTTGAAATTTCTTTATGTATAAGATTTGCGTTTATAAATGAGTTGTACATGCACATGTTTTTGGAGTTTTTTTACACAACAGCGTTACCCCGATTTGTTTGATGAAGCGATCGGTATGCTATAAAAATGTACATACATGTTAGCTAACAACACACGGCATAAGTGGGGCGTCACTTTTCTGGATTATTCCGGATTCGTGAGGGTAAATATTTTTCAGCTCCGGATTCACAAGGTTTATTTTCTCTCGCTCTGGATTCGCCAGTTCAGTTTATTTAGATACGGATTCTGGGTTTTAAAAAAAAAAATCAACCTGTAAGAATGCGTGAAAGCCTATTAAGGGATAAGCGGGTTCTCTATAAATAAAACAGGTACTGCGACCTCTCTCTTTTGTTTGCAAGCCTCTCGCTTCTTGCTGTATCACGTTAATTGCGCGGACAACGATATTGTCATTTCATTTCAATTACTACAGTTTGAAGTAGGCACGTTTCTGTTGTATATAATTTTCAATAGCCCTCGATTGGTCATGGGGATTGAGATAACCGAGGTTAAGTTGCCAATTTGGCCACCTTTTGTGCTTGAGATATCAGTGTTATGCGACATAAAAGAACAACATAGCTGACGAGAAAATGCTAAGACAAAGCAAGAATTTGGTGGTTACACTTCAAAAACGTAGACATAATAGGGTTGGCAAGTTAACTGAGGTCGAGATAAGCGGGTTCGATTGTATTGCAATGTGGCTGGTAAACTCACTATGTATAATCAAGGAATTGATCAATGAAGAAAAGATATTGATGTGTTCAATTTGTGGTTTGAGGAGAAGTATATAAAATGGCTCATTTTTAAGTAGGAGCTATCTACCATTATCTTAAATAGTCATTCTCGTCTATTGTTTCACAGATGATTATTCTCAAATGTTACAAAGCATGAGTCTCAATTACAGAACCAAAACACAGTGATCGACTGGTTTACTTTTATTTAAGAGGATTAAGAGGTTTATGAGGTTTATCTTAACCATCATGCCATTCAGATTGGGGACTTTGACAATAATGGGGGAGCCTATGGTTGTTGAGGTTGAAGAATCCAAATATTTTCACTGAAAATACCACAGAGGAGCGTGGCGCCACTTGGTTTTGGTGGGATAGAAAGGTCCAATAGAAAATGCTTCCTAGTGGAAGTTCCAGACAGAACAGCTAGAACCCTGGACAACAATTTAGAATATGTGAGACCTAAATATTTAAAATTGTGAATCCACCACTGGTTTAGAAAGAAATATCGGACTCGTAGAAATAAATAAAGTTATAAAATAAATACAATAACATTTATTTAAATCTAGATAAATCCAATGGGGAAATTTTTATAACATATCAATCAAGATAGAAGAGCTCTCCTTGGTTTACCACAATGATGTCGTGAATGACAAAAGATTCATGAAAATGTACTTTTTTTGATCTCATACAATTTGTTAAATTGTTGTTATATTTGAAAAAAAGATGGTATTGTAATTTAAAAATACTTTTAATTAAGTTCCATTAGGTTATAATGAAGTTTTTATTTATTTCACTAGAAATAATTAATCGCGCTGGGAAGAGACTGTTGATCTTGCTAATATGTGTTTTTTGTTTTGAAAGTCTGATGAATTTGGATACTGTTTCAGTCAAAGGACTTAAATGATTTTATTATAAATAATGGTAAAATAATAATCATTTAAAAACTGTGAAACACAAATTAAAATATGAAGTAAAAAATGTGTATGTCTTGCCCACTTAAAACTAATGGAGTCTAAATTTCTTAGTTGATATTTTTTATTTAATGAGAAAATTTAAGAAATGAAAGGTCTTCCAGGGACTTAAAAAAAGCTTAATGTTATAGAATTAAATGAAAAATGTAGAAAATAAAGTGGAAAATGTTAATTGTTAAATGGTTTTCTTTTTAAAAGTATTTCTTTTGTACAAAAAATATTTTTCTCATTATAGTTAGCAGCTCAGTATGAAGAAGAAAAATTAAGTCGATTGAAAGAGGAAAAAGAAAATCGACTTCGAAATTTTCAGCAAGAAGTAAAAAAACGTCTCTGTGTAGCAAATCGTCTCAGACGACAGCAACAGATTCAAGAAGCTGAGCAGGCTGTAGGTTTATCCAATTTATTCATCCATAGTTCCATAATAAATTGTAATATTTGAGCTCGTTTATGCATTTTTATTATCTTAAAAGTTCAAAATCTTTATAAAATCAAATAGCTTTTTTACTTTCTTTGAACTTGAAATGATTTTTTTCCCCATCAGTTTGATTTAGAACGTAAAGTTGTACAGCAGTCTTGCTTGACAGCAGACAGCAGCAGAAGAGACACCAGTATCCAAAGACAGGACTTGGATGCAGCTATAAGCAAGAGACTCTTAGAAAGATATGGAGGTATAATAATATCAATTAAATAAAATATTATCCTGAATATAAACTCTCTTTGTACCGGTAGCTAAAGGAACTATTTTCTATGTGGAAATGCTTTGTCTACTTATGGCTCTATTCAACACACTTGAATGTCAGTTACAAAACTTCATATGACTGTCAATTATGTTTATTTACAGAAGATGTGACATCATGGGATAGAAAAATTACTCACAATTTGAAGAGACAAACAGAAGAGGTACAAATCTCAACAAAATACAGTTAAATTCCTCAGATATTTAATTCCTCAGATATTTAATTCCTCAGATATTAGACATTTTAAACAAGAAAATCCTTACTCAGTATTTCATTTTTAAAATACCTTTTATTATCAGAAAATGAATGTTATTTTATCAATGTTCAACAGCTCTATTCACCCTTTATTCATTTATAATATGTGATATTTTAAGATGTCTAAACTCATCCTTCCAATGTTTGCATGACAGAGTCACCAAGTGACTGATAAAGCTCGCCAACAACTCATTTCAAAGAAAATCACACATCAATCAGATGATCAACAAGACCCAAGCATAAGCCGAAAAGTGAAGGTAATTTAAATTGCACACCTGCCATCACTGATCTGTCACAGCTTCAAAATTTTCCCCGACTTGGTTCCATTATATGATGAAAGGTATTCAGTAGTTTTAGCCATTCCAGAATTGTAAAGTCCTTAGCTTTTCTATAGCCTTCAGAAAGGGGGTTTATCCCAAAAAGGAGTAAGATATTACTGAGGAGTTTTTCCTACACTTGTAATTAGGGGGTCGCAAACCAGGATCCCGACTCTCAAAAATACGAGGATACTGGACTATTATGGATGCATGAAAATACCGGGATCTGATTTATGAAAACCAGGATTTTCGAAATTTCTGGTATTTCTTTAATAAATTTTTTTTTATTTTTCTTAATTTCCATGTTGTAGCTAAAACAAGACAAATCAATAATTTATGTGATGTGTGTGGTGTGACTTACGTTGTCTAGAGATCGTTCCCCTGCGTACTAGCCACAGAACAATTTTTCAAGGGTCTAGAACCCCTTTATTTCTAGCTCCTACAGAGCTGACTCTTGGTCCAAGTATAAAACAAACAATGCAGAGATTCAGGTCTTTCTTATTTATTGGCTAAGTGTGCCTAACAATGGAAAACTTTATAAGAAATAAGTTCTGGTGTTCAGAACAAAACGTGTTCAGAAACCAAACTCCACATACAAAACAAAGTTACACAAGTCTTCTTCCATCCGTAGAAAAACTCCACATACCATACACAACAAAGTTACACAAGTCTTCTTCCATCCGTAGAAAAACTCACTGCCTTCACAAGACAAAAATCATACACCATATCCACAGCATTCGCCACTGTTCACTCGTTAAAAACTCTTCTCACACACTCTTATCCTCACGTGGTTCCTCCCNAAAAAACTCGTGGGAAAAGAAACTCACCCACGATTGGTCAAATTAACATTATAAAAGTTGACACAGTAAAACTCACGCGATCTGACCGTGTCACGCGCCCCCCCCCCCCCCACGAGTGACGTTTGGTGAAACCCAATGTTGCGAGTTTCCAAAAAACAGCGGTCAGTTCGCGTGCATATTCTGGTAAACTGACATCAATATTTATAGCATAAAACATATTGATATTTTAGTAAATTTTCTCATGAAAGGTCTATCTTAAAACACTGCGCTATCAACCGCTATTAATCATACTTTGAAAGTCACTACTATTGTTATGGCAATGCATTGTAGAATTAAGACATCTCTAATGAAACATACATGGTAATAGATAAAATAATTACAATTCTTTATCAGCTCAATATTTTTTTACAATCAAATTGAGCATTTATTTTAATACCTTGTCACAAATATTTAAATATTTACAGCACATGATTTCGAAAAATCTTAATTCAAAAATGAAAAAGTGAAGAAAAACAAATGTCAACATCTGAGCATGTGTGGACAGCCATGAATTGTCCCTTCAAAGTTTTACATACAAGAAGGTGGAATGTTTCGCTTATCCCCTTGTCTTAAAAAATCAGTGAGGTTATTTGATCCGCCCAACTCACCCCTCTCTCTTCTCGTGTTTGACCTGCACGGTCTAGTAGGCACGAAATCCCCCAACAAGTCTTTTATACCCCAAGACCGTTTTGCTTCCCCCCAAGCTGTCCCTTCTCTTTTGTAGCAAATACCATCATTGTTGAAAAGCAAAACAGGTGTTACATTGTTAGACGTGTCAAATTTATTCAAATTTTCCCATCGTCTCTAGATGCAAACACTTCACAGTCTCTGTGAAATGTGACATGTTAAAAAATAACTGAGTTAAACTCCGGAGCAGTCAAAAAAAGCGATCTCCCCTCCTCCTCAAAACATAACACACATGAGCTTGACTCAGGAGTGTCGGTGAACTCTGACAAAATCTAGTGGGCGCTGCCCTGGTCAGGGTTACGTTTCCACTTCATGGTACTCGCGACTTGACCCATTTTTAATTTTGCCACCTCGCTTGCATGGAAGCAGAAGGTGATAAATCCATCAACACCCGTAGGTGTGTTATTAGAACATCAGTTTCTTCATAACCCACAGCAAGCCTATACTAATCGGCTCAGAACGTCAGCTAATACATTTTCAGACCCCGGAATCGGTCTGATTGTGAAATTGTATTCCTGCAATGTTAAAGCCCATCTCACAACCCGGTTATTTATGGACTTTGATGTTTGTAGAACCGTTAACGGTTTGTGGTCAGTCTCAATTGTGAAGTGACAACCATAAAGGTATCTCGAAAACTTTGTGATTGTCCAGATGACCCTCAAACATTCCTTCTCTATCACCGAATATCGTGTCTCGCGAGGCAGCAGTTTCCTACTCGCATAAGCTATGGGGTGAAGTAGACCATGCCGTTCTTGCATTAAGCGACCACCTATAGCGGTATCGCTTGCATCCGTTCGGATCACAAACTCACTATCTAGGTCTGGGAGAATAGGAAGTGGCTGTGTAGATAAAGCACGTTGGAGTTTATCTAAAGCCTCGACGCACTCATTTGTCCACAGAACTTTCTCCGGTTTTCCTTTTTTGTTAGGTCTGAAAATATGCCTGAAATACCTGCGAAATCAGGTATAAATTTTATGTAGTACCCGATAAGCCCCAGCAAGCTTCTTACTTGTCTTTTGGTATGCGGCGGTTTGATGTTTATGATCTTATTGATAACACCTTGTTTTGGTTTTGTACCCTGTCCAACTATGTGGCCTAGAAACTCGATTTCTGTGAAGCCGATTTCCATTTTTGTGGGTCGAGCTGTCAGACCTGCGTTTTCCAGTCTATTCAGTACCTGCTCCAGGGCCTTGTTATGTTCTTTTATAGAACTGCCGAAGACGCAAATGTCATCAAAAAAACTGACAGCGTTTTTTTGCCCATCAAGAACCCGGCGCATGCAGCGTGCAAACGTGGCCGGTGCATTGCATAGCCCGAAAGGCATGTATCTAAATTGGTATAAACCTAAGTCGGTTTGAAACGCTGTATACTTTCTAGAGTTCTTGTCAACCGGTATTTGCCAGTAACCTTTAACCAAGTCAATTTTTGAAAAATATTTTGCGTTTCTGAGTTGAAGAAATAAGTCTTCCTGATTAGGAATCGGTTCTGTGTCCGACATGGTTATTGCATTTAATTTTCTATAGTCGATGCAGAACCGAGTGGATCCATCTTTTTTCTTTACTAACACAATTGGTGCGGAATAAGGAGAGGATGACTTTTCTATAATGCCTTCTTTTTCCATCTGACAAACTTCCTTAATGGTTGTCTCTTTGGAAGAAAATGGTATGTGGTATGGTCTCAGACAGATGGGTTTGTTAGTAGTTACTTCAATGGAATGAGTAACTAGTGATGTCTTTCCTGGTATATTTGTAACTGTGTTGGTGTATTTATGTAATATATCCTCAATTATTTGTCTTTCGTACTGATTGAGATCTGGATTGATCCTTACATCTTTAATGGTTTCAGTTATCTCTAGGGTTTGGATAGTGACTGTATCTATACCCCTAGCGTCCTCGTCCTCCTCCTTATCCTCTATTACTACTACGTATGCTGCTACTGATTCCTTATTTTTACTCATCTTGTTAATGTTCCTGATGACGCTCTGTTTATTTGGTTTCTTACTTGTTTCTTGACTTTGTTCCTGGTCCCTTCCTGTCCCTTAGCATTGAAAGCTAAGCATGACACACCTGATGGTCCCTGTGTGTCAGACCCCCGTGCGTCCGTGCGTGTCAGGACTTTAGTAGGATGTGCAGCCATGTAATTGTCCCCGGTCACAATGACGGCATCAAGAGTCATGTTGTTCGTTTCCACTATGTCTTCGACTATGTCTTCATTTACAGTCTGTAGTATTTTGTCCACCACTGTTAGTGCGAACAGATTTTCATAGGTCTTCTCCGACTTGGATAACTCAACCCACCTGGCTAGGTAATGGCTGATCCTGTTCGTATATGTCATCAGGCCCTTGTCTTTGTCCGGTGTCATCCTTGCCAGTTTATCTCTGTAGCCCTGAGCTGTAAGACTAAACTGTTTTGAGAGTGCTGTTTTTACCTCATCATACGTCCGGTGTCATCCTTGCCAGTTTATCTCATAGCCCTGAGCTGTAAGCCTAAACTGTTTTGAGAGTGCTGTTTTTACCTCATCATACGTCCGGTGTCATCCTTGCCAGTTTATCTCTGTAGCCCTGAGCTGTAAGCCTAAACTGTTTTGAGAGTGCTGTTTTTACCTCATCATACGTGGCCTCCGTTCCTGTCACATACCCTGCGAAACAAACTGGGAGTAGTTCGGGTGGCATTAATTTTCTTAGTTCATTATTCCAACTCCCGATTGGCCATTTGTTCTGTCTTGCTTCATCCTCAAACCGTATGAGGAAGAAGTCCAAATGGTCAGCACGCCCGTCGAACATTGGTATTTTGTTTTTAGAACGACCTGTGTCGGTTGATTGTTCTCTATCCTTGTTTAATCCTTTCCCCTTTTCTAACTCAGCCATTTTCATTTCATGTTCTTGTATTCTTTTTTTTTTCTTCCCGCTCATATGCACGAATGGCCCTTTCCTCATCGCGAATGGCTCTTTCCCGTCTTGTTATCCATTCTTTCGCTTCCTCCCCTTCTAATCCCAAATTTATTGCCATTTGTTTAATTTCGGCAATAGTAGGTAACAACATTTTTATCTCTAAGTCTTATGTCAATATATATGTTTACAAAAAATTTACAAATAGAAAATGGATCAAATGAAATGAGTAATAAAACAATAGAAATTGCAAATCTAATAGCTAAATAATTTACTTAAAATAATTAATTGTGATGGTTCTCTTGATGGGTGGTACTGGGATTTCGGACGTATTGAGAAGTATAATCCATGTGTTCATGTGTATTCTCGTAGGTAGATAGGGTTGGAATGTCTGGTGTCTCCAATAATCCAATGTGACTAAAAGTTAGGGTTGGTATAGCTGTATGGTTGGTTTGCACGACTTTCCTCTGGACTGGTATGGCCGTGATGACTGTTTTGACGAGCTGGTGTGGCTGGTTGGTCAGGCCCCCTCTGTGATGAATGGTAGGCTGGTAGGGTTCTTTGGACGATATGATGTTGCTTTAACGGCCTCCACTGTGGTGTATGGTCTGCTATGGTTTGTTTGGACTTAGCTGAATTGTTGAACCACATATCAAATGTTGAGCTGGCATGGTTGGATCGTGCTCCCACGGTGGCTAATTGCAGGCTTAGATGGCTGGTCCACTGTAGTGGATGGCAAGGGTTGATATGGCTGAATCGAACAGCCTACCCTGTGGCTGAAGGTAGGCTTGGATGGTTGCCTTGATGTGCCGCAACGACGGCGAATGGTAGGTTTAGATGGTTACTCCACTGTGATGGATGATTATGGTTGAAATGGCTGCTTCGACAGCCTTCCCTGTGGCTGGTGGTGGGCTGGGATTGTTGCTTTGATGTGCCTCAACGATGGCGAATGGTAGACTTGGATGGTTGCTCCACTGTGGTGGATGGTAGACTTGGATGATTGCTTTGATGTGCCGCGACGATAGCGAATGATAGATTTGTATGGTTAATCCACTGTGGATGGTTATGGTTGCTATGGCTGCTTCGACGGGCCCCCACTGTGGTGTGACGTACGTTGTCTAGAGATCGGTCCCCTGCGTACTAGCCACAGAACAATTTTTCAAGGGTCTAGAACCCCTTTATTTCTAGCTCCTACAGAGCTGACTCTTGGTCCAAGTATAAAACAAACAATGCAGAGATTCAGGTCTTTCTTATTTATTGGCTAAGTGTGCCTAACAATGGAAAACTTTATAAGAAATAAGATCTGGTGTTCAGAACAAAACGTGTTCAGAAACCAAACTCCACATACCATACACAACAAAGTTACACAAGTCTTCTTCCATCCGTAGAAAAACTCCACATACCATACACAACAAAGTTACACAAGTCTTCTTCCATCCGTAGAAAAACTCCACATACCATACACAACAAAGTTACACAAGTCCTCTTCCATCCGTAGAAAAACTCACTGCCTTCACAAGACAAAAATCATACACCATATCCACAGCATTCGCCACTGTTCACTCGTTAAAAACTCTTCTCACACACTCTTATCCTCACGTGGTTCCTCCCGACACAGCACACCGGTCATACCTGACCGAGAAAAATAAAAACTGGTGGGGCACACGGGGAAAAGAAACTCACCCACGATTGGTCAAAATAACATTATAAAAGTTGACACAGAAAAACTCACGCGATCTGACCGTGACAATGTGCAAACCCCTGACACCACATGTCTGAAAGAGAGGTTACCCACGGAATAGATCTGTGTACTGTGATTCATTTGTAAAGAAGCATAGTGTTGTGATTAGTTTTGTTTTTACATCGTGAGTAGTTTTAAGTGGAGGCGTGAGTTGTGAAATGAAGGTACATGATTGGTAAGTGAATGTTTTCATATTATTGACAAATTAAGTAATTGGTATAGTCCAATGATTCGCAAGGAACCACAAGAGGAATCCTGGACATTAACATCCGATCTTGAAAGGAAAATAAAGGCGATAGAGATGAGATGCTTCAGAAGCATTTTTGACATCTGTTATAGGGACCATATCTCCAATGATACAGTGAAAGAAAGGGTTCGTCAGGCAATTGGGGAGTACGATGACCTACTGGTGACTGTGAAAAAACACAAATTACAATGGTACGGCCACGTAACAAGGAAACAAGGGCTTGCCAAAGAAATATTGCTGGGCACCACAAGAGGAGGGAGAAGAAGAGGAAGTCAAAGAAAAAGAAAAAGGTGGGAGGATAACATCAAAGAGTGGACAAGACTAACACTGGGCGATGCAGTGCATAGTGCTGAAGACAGATAGGAATTGAGGAGGATGGTTCACATGTCATCTGTGGCGCCCAACGGTCCAAAGGCTAATGAACGCATCAACCTGATTTTGGTGCTGGGGGACTATATTTTTGTCGTTTCATATTTTCTTGAGCCTCTTTAGTGCTGTTGTCGCCTGGGCAATCCTGGACATCAGTTTGGGCTTGGAGCCTTCTCCTGAGACTATTGCTCCTAGGTATTTGAAGCTGCCTACAGTCTCTAAGTTTTTCCTCCCGACCTTAATTTCAGTGGCGATGCAGGTGGTGTTATTTGTCATCAGTTCTGTCTTTTCGGCACAGATTTGCATGCTATAGGACGATGAAATCTTGTCGAGACGCTTTACTAGGTTGGCTAGCTCTTTTTTGTTCCCAGCCAGTCCATCTATGTCATCTGCAAAGCGTAGGTTGGTGATTGTTCTGCCACCAATGCTGACTGTCCCTTCATGCGCTTCCAGAGCATCTGACATAGATCTCTCTAGGAAGAGGGTGGGGGAGAGCAAGCAGCCTTGTCGTAATCCAACCGTGGTCTTGAACCATTCTACAATGTTGTTATTGAAGACTGCACTGGTGGCCTTATCATAGAGGTTGCATATCATTCTTGTTAGGTTTATTTTGATGTTGTAGTGCCTCATGTTGGCCAATAAAGCAGCATGCCAAACCCTGTCGAATGCTTTCTTGCAATCCACAAAGACGTGGTATAGGTTTTTTTGGTGTTGGTGCTATGAAAAATCTCTCAGCTAAATGCATGAGATTTTACAAATTATGTAAAACATTGGGGGCACAACTTTCCACTGTCTTGAAAGATATTGCTGTTTCAGGTACCGGAACTCCAAGAGCATTGGTTTCTATGGCATCTTGTTCTAAAACTTTCGCTGACACAGAAGAGGAAACACCAAGGAAAAAAGCAAATTAACAGACTATTTTTCAAGTTCAAACAGCTTAGCAGAAACAGTTTCTCTTAATCCTATGACAGCTTCAAATTGTCTTCCATTAAGTTTTTTCATTTCTTCTGATATTCGTTTGATTAATGTCTGAAGTTAGACATTTGTGTTACTGTTAAAAGCATATTAAAAATCAAAATGTGATTTCTTTTCTCAATGTTTTTATTTCATTGATACATCGTCACCTCTAATCTCGAAAAAAAATTCTCTAAATATTGAAAATATCGGGATTGCAGTATTGTTAAAACTTCAACTTCGAAAATATCAATTTTGGTAAAAGGGACCAGTATTATGATCCCTACTTGTAATGTGAGACTGAAATGACAAAATTAATTTTTTATTTTTTACACATATGTGCTCTTAATTGTGTTTTGAACTCCAGCTCATAATATTCATAGCTAATGCATAAAAAGAGGGACAATTTTCATCCAATATCGATGTTAACCCTTTCCGCTCCAACTGGGTGTAATACACCCGGAGACAGACTTAAATTGCTGATATCTCGAGTCTCCTTTTAATAATCTTTCTCATACTCTACCTAAGCCACAAGTTAGTTGGAATGAACACCTTGGTGAATGCAATTGTATAATGCATGTGAAAGTGACTTATTTTTGGGGCCTAAACCTTTTTTCTACACTCCCTAGCAATTGGATGTAATACATCCGTACATAATTAAGAAAAAAAACATCTAAACTGGCTTGTGAACATTTTTGTTTGGTTGTTGTTTGTTGATTATTTGAGTCTGTAATCCATGCCATAAAAGAGATTTTAAATTTTGACCATAAATAAATATTCTGAATGGATTTTGGTACCGGGGTACCAACAATAATAACATTTAATTTATTCACCTTGAAAAATCATTTCAAAGCAAAAGAGTCACACATACACAGGGAAAATAGGGCTTTGCAGCTTAGCTTGCACAGTTTTTACATAAAAGATTAGAACAGAATGTTCTTTGCTAATATGTCTAATAAACTTCTCAAGTTAAAGTTGTTTGGGCAGCTGTTTAAAGTGTTTGCAAAGATTTCAAAACACTGGCGAAGTTCTGCATCACAATGTCTTGGTGTGTCTGGACGGATCGTCTCTACTTGAGGAGGGGTGAGGAAATTTGCAATTTCAATATTGACTATTTGTTGTCTTTCAGAGACAGTGAGTTAGTCGGATATTTATATTTAAATGCCACTCTTTCTACAATTGATGCCAAGTTAACAATGTTGAAAAACACACCCAAAGGCCATCTTTTACTTTTAGTTTTTTTTTTATTAACAGAGATCACCTTCGCTATTTGGTCAATGACGAATATGCCTCCTTTGATTTTGTTGGTATAGAGCACAATCTCTGGTTTCTTGCATTCAGTTTCACTTTCTATATCTGGAAGATTGTGCATTGTGTTCAGGAGCATAACATTTTTCTGCTTTGAGCTCTGGTATCTGGCAAGGTCATTTCTAATCTGAACAAAACCACTGATTTGTTGAGGGGCAGATCATTCTTTTGCTTCAACCCCTTGGGTAGGAACATCTTGTTCGTTTCACTGTTCCATCTAGGGTTAGTCGGTTCTTGGCCATTGGTTCTGCAAGTTGTAAGGAAATGAAATAATAGTCTGTTCTGAAATTGCGGCCACTTCCATGGAAGTCTGTTGTGAGAAAAATCACAGTCTCTGGGGGATATTCGAACTTTCTCTTTGCTGGCAGGGCACTTGCATTTTCTTTGACGAGACATGGGTAGCCTCTAAGAGGATAGTTCGAAGACGATATACAGGCTCAGAAGATTTTTCTCCATTTTTGTCGGGCTTGCTTGGCATATATTGAATAAATCTGCACCGACCTCTGAAACCAACCAGTTGCTCACCTATTATTCTCTCCAAGAAAAAAGCACCTTGCCAAATTACTCAGGAATGCTTCTTATGCATCTCTTATGGGAGCAAAGATGTCACGAGCCAGAAATGATTTATCTAGTATCCTTGTTGTCAAAGCTAGTATGAATCAGAAGTTTGCTGAATCTCTTCATTGAAAGTACTGCCCTAAAAAGAGGGTTTCCCATCAACAGGACTGAATAAAAATTCCACTGAAATGCTGTTGAGGAGAAGGGTGTGTAGTAGGCAGCCAATGAAAGCTTTAGTTTAGATCGCATCAGTCCCTTGCCATTTGTTTCTTTTACTTTCTCGCCTCGGTGCAGTTAGCTTTTGTTTGTATCATTTTTTATTAATGTACAAAACAAATGCTTCAGTGGGAGAAACAACGTGATCAGTGAAGGGAGTTTGGTTACAAGGCAACTAAATCATGCCACATTGTAAAAAATAAAATCGCATAAAGAGATAATAAGGGGAGAGACTTCAATCAGGTTAGCAAAATAGGAAATGAGTAAAAGAATTTTATTCTGTTTTTTCTGTTGTTTGTTCGCTGAATGGAGGCTTCCTTTTTTTCAGGTTTGATCTTACTTTGTTTTACTCATTTCCTAACTTAAAGAGAGCCATTTACTGTGATACAAGACTGGATGTAACCCATCCAGTTGCCAGGAATCGCCAGAAACCCATTTTCCCATTATAATAAGTGTACAGGTGTGCTACACCCAGTCGCGACAGAGTATACAATATGTTGAGGCAGAAAGGGTTAATTATTTTTATAATTATTTTTGTTGGTTCAGAATTAGAGTAGACATAATGTATTGCTTTAGTAGAAAAATATATTTGGTCTCCTCTAATTGATGGTTAGGCTGCTTAAATGTAAGATTTAAAAAATAATTTAGAAAATTAAAATTGCCTTTCAGTTTCAGGCTGTTTTTTGTTATTCCTCTTCAGGATCCCAGTGTTTATAATGTGGTCAGTGTGCCTGTTGGTCAGACAACCAAGACATTTTCCAACAATAATGAAAGTGGTGATCAAGATGAAGTGATAGAAGGTACAAAGAAGCACATGTTATTGATATTATAAAAAATGAAGTTGCAGTTTTCTTGGTAATCACCTTAATCTTACTTTCTCCCTAATGACAAGCCCCACCAGGTTAGCTCCAATATTGGTCTCTCAATGGTTTCATGTTTTGATACAGTCACAATTTTGTGGATTAAATCTTTTTTCAAATGCAGATGTGGGAGCTATTAGTATTCATGCCAAAACAAGTGTAGAAGAAGAGAATTACTGTGAAGATAACAGCAATGAAGCTGACACAAAGCAGGGAAGAGTATGTTTTACAGATATCAAATCAGTGGTTCAAAGGAGGAGGAAAGGATCTGGTAAAGATGATTCAATATCTTGTATGCATGTATTTTGTATTAGTTCCTTTTTAAAAACAATTGGCAGACTGGAGACAACAATAACTTAATAACAATAAAAAGAATCAGTTGATTTTTAGGAATGAATTTTTTTTGTTTTAAATTAGCTCTCGGGTATTGCTTTTGTGATACTCTTGTTTAATTTCCATTACGATGCATACATTTTTAATTCTTCCTCCAGTTAGTTTCCTTTTTATCTAAGAGAACTCTTAGGCTTGCACACATACAAAAAGATTTCTCATATAATTAAAAATAACTTATTATTTGTGGACTTGTTTTATTTTAATGAATTTTATTTTTGATGAAGGTGATGGTAACTCTGGAAGACCTTCTTCAGCTAGACTAAATGCTATTTTGAACAATGATGTAGAATGTGGAATTCTTGCCAGACAGCGCAAACAGCAGGCGGCATTGTCTAGGAGAATTTTCATGGATAGAGAAAGAGAGGCGGTGCGAGAAAACATACGAAGAGAAAAGCACAGAAAGAAGATAATAAGGTTAGGACACTAATTTCAAGATAGTTTATAGTGAATTCAGTGAATCTTAAAAATGTAATGTCCAGGGAAGTTGATCGTGAAAAATGAAAGAAGTAATTCATATATTAAAATTTTGATTATTCTTCTACAGATACAAAAATTATTGCTTTTTATCAAAATTAATGTCCTTATACTTCAAGAAAGTACTGATTAAAATTGTTTTATCATTAAGCACGAATTTAATTTTTCTGTATACATTATTAAGAATTTTGAATTATAATTTTTGTATTGTGACATTGACAACTTTCATAGAACTATATTTTATGAACACATTTTGGACTATGATGGTTGAAGCTGGTGAAAATAAAATTATATAGCTTTCAGATCGATTCTTAATGAAGCTTAACTCTACAATAGATCCAAATTTAACAGGAAGATCCAAATTATTTAACTTTCATCTGGATATCTTGTTATCATTATTAAATGCACATGAGGTCATAGGCCAAATTGTTATTTCTGCTAGAATCTTTTAAAATATATTTTTTATTAATTAGTTAATACTGCTGGTAAACTAAATATATACTTTAAATAAAGGCTTGACTAGACAACTTACACATGAACATTTTTAATTTAGCTTGAAGAAAGAAAAAGAGGAATACCGTCAAGAGTTGGAGGAGCTAGCTCATCTTAAGTCCGGGGAAATAACTGATAACACTGAAAGGGACACAGCAGAAGAGATAAAGCTGAGAGAAGAATTGGAAGAGCTTCATATACATGAGATGGTGGAAAGGAGGAAAGAGGAACTGAGGAGAGCAAGGGAAATGGAGAGGTAAATTTGACAAACGGTATAAATTTGACAAACGTTATAAAAAAATTCCGGAGCGAAAGAGCGAACTAGTGGATTTTGGTTTTTGAAAAGTATTTCTTGTTCTTGTTTTGTATTGCCTTCTGAAGGCATCTAGCCAAAATTTAAGTTTAATAGTTGTGTCTTTACTTTACATATCTTTTTACACTATTTATTTACTTCACACAGCTTGAAATGCAGTCCCTATTATATTATCCTGTATTTCCCAAATCTTTTGGAATTAAAAAAAAAAACAAAAAAAACATTCAGTAATAAAAGCTAATGTGAATAAATTTAAACTAAACTAAAATACGGCTAGGTACAACAACCCTTTATTCTTACTATGGAAACGTGATTTTAACATTTTAAGACCCAAAAGAGAGCTAAAAATCCCCAAACTGTATCTGCAGCTTGCTCTCCCTTCGCCAGGAACAAATAATGTTTGATTCTTATGACACTCTGGCAGACGTGTGGCTGCATTATCACCTTCCTTGTTTCTGATCGGATTACTAGATACTGTTACTTATCAGCCGATGAATTTAATTGTTTTCCCCAGATATCTTGATGCATTGAAACATAGCTTGTTAGAAAAAGTCAAGCGTCAGAACCTCCAACTTCCTGCCTTGTGCGCGTGCGGAGACACAGTTTGGGACACCCACCCTGACACCTGTGCCAACAACTGTTTCTTTTATAAAAACCAGAGAGGTGAGTTCCTATAATTACTGTGCCACTAGTGCTTTAAGAGACTTTAGTAAATTTACAGACCTGCCGACCTGCAAAAATCTGTAGATGGGGTGCTATTGCATTGGGGGGGGGGCAGAGGAGGGGGAGTTGGTTTCAGATCTCCATACTGATGCACAAGCCTTTTTTTTTAGTAAATAAAGAAATGTAAAGTTAGCTCCCTTGTCTTTGAAGAGTCCACAGAACATGAGAAAAACATTACTGGAAATGTTGTTTCTATACAGATCTATACAGAACAGAAGATCCATTTATTAACATATGTACACAGGCTGCTAAGACTAAGAGTAAGAGTTCAGTTTTCAAGCATATCCCTAGTGGCAGTGGACTTTTTGCACTTGTCCAACTGCTCTTTGTACAACTGAAGGTTAGCATTGCAACTGATTTTAGTTCCAAGCAAGTTAGAAAGAGTATCAACTTTCATGTTGCCCTTGTTATTGTTTCATTCATTGTAATTTCTTCACAATCTTCTAGCAATCTGTGAGTCTGGAAACATTTCTTTAACTATAGCATTATTTTATTTGAAAATCACACTTTATCCCTAAAGGCTCGAAGCGCTGTACATGGTCTAGTATATTAAAGAGAAGAAACAATCTATAATATACCACATTGAAATACAAAATGCAACATAGCAAAAACTATATACGAGAAAACCCATTCTAAGTCTTTCATCCCTATCAACCATAAACAACACAGGCCAATACACATCCACAAGATAATAGCTAGATAGACAACATCATCCCAGCAGGTGTTTGCGAAATAGATATGTCTTCAAATCAGTTTTGAAAGACTCCAGTGACCGGCTGTTTCTGAGAGCGACAGGAAGGGTGTTCCAAATTGTTGGGCCAGCTAATGCAAAAGTACGCCCATCCTAAGTCTCAAGGCGAACACGTGGTATCGAGAGTTTGCCACTGTCAGATGAGCGGAGTTGTCTAGTGGGTACATAAGGCGTCAGCAGCTCTTTGAGATAGGACGGTGCCAGGTCATGCAAGCAGCGGTAGCACAGAGTTGCGATTTTGTACTCTATGCAAGCGCGAACCGGCAGCCAATGCAACACTCTTAGAAGTGTTTTAGCATGGTCGAATTTGCGTTTGCGAAAAACAATGCGAGCCGCATTATTCTGTGCTTTTTTAATTTTATCGAGGAGCGTAGCTGGAAGACCCACCATAAGAGCAGTGCAGTAGTCTATGCGTGATAGCACGAATGCAGACATCAGCTTCTTTGATGCATCTAACATTATAACATTGTCACTTTTTAACCATTTGTTCATTATATATACCAGCAATGGTTCTGGTATTTCTTTTGTAGAATTTAACATATTTCTTTTTCATATAAATGTTGAAATGAAGTACCATAAACTCTGATCGACTACTGCGGTCATGCGACAAGGCTGATGGACAAATATCCCTCGCATAACATCTTGCGCACTTTGTTACATCGGTCATGTGACTTGGTCGAATATATAGCTGGCATCCGTCTGTCACAATGTGACGATGGAGTGGGCTTCGGAGGATGAAATCCACATGGCCTGGGATTATTCTTCAAGGATTATAAGCTGGTTCCCAACAGCAAATCGCCTCTCTCCACGCCGCTGGATAACCCAAGGTAACATCATTGGATGATACAGCTTGGCACCAGTGACGTCGCAGGAGTTGTCGGAATGTTTCATTGTATCAATGTTATCCGCCTTTCGGGACTCCATCTCCTGGTTTTGATTTCAGAGTTTCCTTCTCTTAGATGGGTTGCCTTCCAAGGTTAACGAGTCCCATCTACCCGGGGTGCTGGTGGTGTTTTTGCTTGACTGGAATTGATCTCCAGACCACCAACTTGAGATTTGCTCAGTTTAGACCACTCGGCCACCCAGCACCCTGGGTCCAACTTGAGATTTGCTCAGTTTAGACCACTCGGCCACCCAGCACCCTGGGTCGAGTATATAATAGCCAGACAAATATCTTGAGACCTTATTTTATATTCTCTCGCTTCCTGTGTTCCCACTTCCGCGACAACAATGGATATTTCTTGAGTTGCTCTGTTCATTGTTATATTTTCATTTCTACTGTTAGCCGAAGAAGGCTTTATGCCGAAACGTCCTTATTTTTTGTCCTGTTCTCTAATTCAAGCTTCCACATACCTCGTTTTGCTAAAGAACAGGAGCAGCATCTTCGGCAAACAATCACATAAATACCCTCTTTGATGGTGAAGGTCCTCTTAAGGAAGCCAATGTGTTTAGCTGCCAGAAAAAATAGTGGCAAGTCTTGAGCATGGGTTAGCCCAAATGTGAAACGAGTCAGCTCGAAGGCGACTGTGAACCAGAAGGTCCCATAAGTCTCATAGATTTTTAATCCGCCTGAATACAATAAGTGGAGGGGGATGAGAATACCCTGCTAGTGTCGGGGTCAGCAAGAAGTATATGATGATTTTTCAAGAATTTTTTTGTAGAATCACATTGTAGGCTGGTAGGTTAGAATGAGTTATGTTTGACCCTCATTTTTTAGTTTAAATGAGATTTAAAAGCTTCACTACATGTGATTGCCCTGATATATATGGTCTGGTGTTGAAATAAGGGCACTCTCGTGATACGATCTAGAGCGGAAATAGTCCATCATTTCATTTTAGGGCCTGAGTTTCCATGTTTTGTTATAAGATGTTACTGGTGCAATATAGCACTATAAATGGCTCTAACTTAAAGAGAGTTATGGTAACTTATAGTTCAGGTTGTATTTTTATTTATTTTTTTCCTTTCAAGAGTAAAATAGTTAAAAATGCAACATTACTTTGGAAGAGGGTGTGAAACTTAGTCAAACTATCAGTAGGGGGTAGGGTGTCCCAAAAAAATGAAGTTTTGAAATGTTGATGTCTCACCCCACAGAATATGTCTGTATGGTAACAGTAGTTAACCTGCAAAATTTCAGCTCATTTGGACAATGTTTAGAGGTCCCCCAAGAGGTTTAAAGTTCCAGATTTTGGTGTAAAATCATTCGCGGTCAAATCTAATACAGCGTTAATGTTGCATTATATGCGAAACTGATATATTAAGTAACAAATTGATGCTTAGTATTGTATAATATTAAATGAAACAAAATATATAAATCTTGAATGGTTTATATTTTAAAATTTGAAATTTAAGTAAAAAATTATGAAAAACAAAGTTTTATTCATTTTGTCAAGTTAATTCTTGAAAGAATGTCAATCTGCTTGAAAAATAATAATAAGCAATGCAATTAAGCATTCCTATTATTTATCTTGTACTTTTTACTGTAGGGTAGACAAAAATTTAAAAAAAGTGCTTCAAATTTAAATTTTAGCCAGCTGTTCACGATTACACTCTGCAAAATTTTTCCGATGTTTGTCAACCACTTGGAGCAAAAATTGTTTTTGTTCTTCGTCCTTGGTGATACTATCATTGAAATTTTGTATCAATGCTACACCTCGCTCTGCAGAGTCATTGATACAAGCCAGATTCTTTACAAAATCTGCTGCAACTTTAAAAGATCTGACCATGCTTCAACAGGAACATCTAGAAAACTGGCATCAATGTTGGATGTTTCAAAAAATGTGGTAGAAGCACGCAAATCAACAACACTTTTTGGTAGTGTTTTTATGAGATGCGGTCCACGTTTATGGTAACAGTAGTTAACCTGCAAAATTTCAGCTCATTTGGACAATGTTTAGAGGTCCCCCAAGAGGTTTAAAGTTCCAGATTTTGGTGTAAAATCATTCGCGGTCAAATCTAATACAGCGTTAATGTTGCATTATATGCGAAACTGATATATTAAGTAACAAATTGATGCTTAGTATTGTATAATATTAAATGAAACAAAATATATAAATCTTGAATGGTTTATATTTTAAAATTTGAAATTTAAGTAAAAAATTATGAAAAACAAAGTTTTATTCATTTTGTCAAGTTAATTCTTGAAAGAATGTCAATCTGCTTGAAAAATAATAATAAGCAATGCAATTAAGCATTCCTATTATTTATCTTGTACTTTTTACTGTAGGGTAGACAAAAATTTAAAAAAAGTGCTTCAAATTTAAATTTTAGCCAGCTGTTCACGATTACACTCTGCAAAATTTTTCCGATGTTTGTCAACCACTTGGAGCAAAAATTGTTTTTGTTCTTCGTCCTTGGTGATACTATCATTGAAATTTTGTATCAATGCTACACCTCGCTCTGCAGAGTCATTGATACAAGCCAGATTCTTTACAAAATCTGCTGCAACTTTAAAAGATCTGACCATGCTTCAACAGGAACATCTAGAAAACTGGCATCAATGTTGGATGTTTCAAAAAATGTGGTAGAAGCACGCAAATCAACAACACTTTTTGGTAGTGTTTTTATGAGATGCGGTCCACGTTCTGATTGCATTGTCCGAACAAGGCCAGTTTTTTCTTTGTCCGACAAAGGGGTTGAAAATAACACAAGCGTCGACAGTTCCGGACTCAAGTACCACGAGTGACGAACCATCATTTTCAATCCAGTCGATCGAAGAACAGCATCATCATATTCGTATAAGCGCTGTATCAACAAGTTATCATTCACAGGTGCATCTGCGGTGAGCCTGCATGAAAACCATGATTGAAGATAAACACATATGGTAAACCGATTAAAGCGCTGAATACCTTGTAATTCTCGAGCTGTTAACTGAAAGATGGTTTCGTTGCCTGCAAACAATAGTTCGATTTTCAATGCATAGATTGCTTTCGCCATCCACCTTGCCCTATGTAGGGCACCAGGTCTGCGAATGCTGACATCAACCTCCAACCCAACCATTTGTGCAGCAAGCAGAAGAAATTCCAAATAATCATCACGTGAATGACTGACCTCAAGTTGACATTTGATAAATTCTTTAATCGAATCGGACACGATTATCAAAGGGGCGCATCTGGCTTCGGGTGTGTGGTTTAATTCTTGCCATTTTTCTCGAAACCTCTTAAAAAACAAAATCTCTGGTCCAGTGGATGGTCCAAGACAAACATTGAATGCATCGGAAAGGAGTACTTCCAACATGTGATGACGGCATGCCATCCATAATAGATTACGTCCCAGGGCTACTTCTAACAGAGTGCAAGCTCCATTGAGTCTTCCAGTATTGGAAGCCGTAGTGTCGAAGCACATGCCGATGACCATAGATTCGCACTTCCACGATTTGATATGTTCATATACTGCATCAGCAGCTGCCCGTCCTGACCCGGATGCTAACTTGGGAACACCAAGAAGCTTTGTAGTGCCATCGACAAGTGATGAGAGCAGGACAGGTAATCGATCGACGTTGTTGGTAACCTCTCCGGTAACATCGGGCAATAGCTTACCATCCCAATGAACAATTGATTTTGAGGGAATATAGTCTTCTTTTATACGTGCTGCAGCTTGTTGACGACGAAGCTTGCGATGACGATGCATTGTGCTCTTGGAAAATACTGTGTCAGATGTCGGAACACCAGCTTCGTTGAATGCGGATGCAAGTATCATTGTAGATTTTCTAATGCTGGTGTTCGTTCTGTCCAGCACTGCAGCAACTTTTGGTGATATGATGCTTCGTCTGCGATGTCGTGTTGCAGAATTTGTTTTGCTTGAGGATGCTGATTGGATGACAAATTCTTCATCAGGTTCTGCATCGTCACTGGAATCCCGACAAATGGATGGATCATAATTGTTTCTAGCCTGACAATTTAGCATGCTTAGTTTAAAACAATCAAATCTTCAAAAAATATGCACAAGTTTTGCACATTAGGTATTTTATATGTTTTCTCGCATTTATTACATTTTCTAATTAAGAATCACACAATTTCAACTCTAGTTAATGGTAGCAATGAGGTAAATATAAGAAGTATATTTAAACTTCATTTTATTCATATATGGCATGCAAAAACTGCAAGTTATTTGAGCCACGATTCGTCTGGATTTTTATGTTGGCCTAATACTGGAATTTTAAAAGCTCTTGGGGGACCTCTAAATGTTGTTCAAATGAGCTACAACTTCACCAATTCACTCATTGTACCCAAGAGACACATTTCAGGGGGTGAGACACCAAAGATTTAAAAAAAAATTTTTTCCGAGCATTTCTGGGACGCCCTACAGGGGTGCCCTGATTTATAGTCTAAATTTGGGTCGCAGTAGAAATTTATAAACCGGTATTCTGACACTATCGTTTTAATTTTTGTTCACAATCTGGTTGAAGTTAGTTTTTGAAAATTTGAATATGGGTTGAAAATGTTCTAATTTTCTGTTTCCAGCTTATGCTCGAGCTTTACAGTCCTTACTGACATCTGCTGAGGTGAAGTGACCATTGTTTTCATAGATAATTCATTTTGAGAATCAGTGTTTTATATTTTCTATTCTATCAGATTAAATAAAATCACTCACACTAATCCTACAATTCTTATCAACTCTTGATATTCAAAGTACAATAAGTTTTAAACAAATAAAAGAGTACCCGGTACTTATTCACAAAATTCATTTCTTTTATGCTTGAAAACATCATTTAAAGGGAAGTAATTTTTTAATAAGTAGCTGTATTTAGTTGGACACAATTAATTATATAATTTTACCCTATTATTTTTGTTCCCTGTAACTTGTGACTTATAAAATGGTTTGCACAAAGAAAACTAAACATTTCATCATATGCCTCACTATGGCAGTTGATCAACACATAGCTGGAATAGTTTGGCCAAATGTATTATTGTTTTTGTGGGTTTTTTTATTGACTACCTCCATTCTGTCTATAGAATTCTTGCGTTATTTACAGTATTGACTAGAGTAAGTTTAACATCCATGCATCAGAATTTCATGGAATGATTGAACATGTATCTTGATGTGCAAGACATTTTTTTGTTTAAAACCACCAAATTTTATACCCTGCTACAGGGACAAACTCTACATTTAGTGTATATTAATTCAAGAATATTTAAAAATAAAAAATAATGGCATCTAATAAATTACATTGCATTCATAACTGATTATGTGTCATGTTACATCCATTTCTACGCCTCTGTTGTGTAATTTCTTGAATGTTGAACTATTACAAAGTACTCAACTCTTAAATGATCATAATTCTCATAAATGTAAGCTATGATTTAAAATAATGATTAATCATTGCCCCGTCAGTACATTGACAAAATAATTGGCAGTAGGCAACTTTTGGCTTGTATTAAAAAACAAAAGTATCTCAAAATGCAGTTACAATTTATGTAAGGCAAAAAGTAAAGAGCTTCTCATGCAACTAGTTTTGGCAGAATTTAGTGTTAAATGGAATAACAACAGTTCCCAGATGTTTATGAGAAGCCTTTGTGAACATTCCATAATAATATTGGCTAATAAAAAAACTAAAAAAAACTTCTACATGTAAAATGATGGCAGAACATTTTCCTCCAGTCAGTTTCTAATCAAGCTTTTCATCAAAACTGAAACAAGATATTACTGGCTCACCTTTCAAACCATCATCCTACATTATTATTATGGTTTTTTTTTTGCCTTACCCAAATATTATGCTCTAAATAAATTATATATTTATCCCTGTCATTGTTTGGTTAGGACACTCACATTGTCTAATCTGTCAGTAATCGTATGGTAAATTTTTAGCAAAGGATTAACTGACAGTAAACTTAAATAAAAAAATGTTTTGATTTCAACAATTTAATTACAAAATTAGTGCAGCAACCAACAACGACCATCATAAATTTCTGTTCATCTGATAATGGATGCTCTGAATCCCAATTACAAAAGCTTAAATCTTATTAGTCATTCAAAAATTATCACAGTTCATCATCATTGTTCAAAAAGTATTTAAATTAAAGATTAAAACACTATACTAATGTCTGCATTTCAATTATTATAATAATAATACAATTTTAAACAATATGAAAAAAGCTATAAATAATCAATAAAGAAATTGAATGAGAAAAAAGTTTAAAAAATGATTGAAATATTAAAATGAATGAAAACAAGTAGTCTAATAATAGTAATATCATACTGTTGGTCAAATTATGCCAAGCAGTAATTGTTTAATATAATATTTAAAAATACAAGGGAAATCGACCATCATATAATTCGCACATTTTAAAAAAAATATCTAATTTTACTGACTCAAATAATTAAATAAATAAATCATTAACAATGAAAAATTGAAACATACATCACAGTTCTTTAGACATTCTTCTTTAAAAACCTGATAGTTAATATCAATGTTTACAAGCAACAGAAATGAAGATGCAAACATGGGAAACATAGGAAAAAGCCATTTGTCTCAAAGCTTTTTTTTCTCACTCTTCTGTGGGCTTACCCGATTTTAAACTTTCACATTTCTTCAAACAAGATTCAGCCATTTGATAAGCCATTTTGTGGTCAAACTTTTTAGCAAACTCTAGAGCCAATTGGCAGGTTTTTGTTGCCTCTGGAATCTTCCCCTTTCTCAGATGAACAGCACCTAAATTACAATACAGGGCTGCACCTTCAGCCAGGTCAAAATTATTGGACAGCATGATTCCTTCTTCCAGTAACTGCTCTGCTTCAGATAACCGATTTGTGACAATATACAATGTTGCTAAATCATTTAAAACAACAATGTACTGATTAGACTTGGGGCCTAGGATGTAATCAGCATATGCACATGCCTGTTTGAACATGGGCAAGGCCTCCGTGTAGCGTTTCTCATACAATAAAAATCGTCCGTAGCTCCCTAAAGCCATTCCAAGCAAGGCAGCTGTATCCTTTTCTTGTTCATCCAAGTCTGGTCGTATGCCGGCATCCTTGGCCTGTTTCATTTTGGTCTTTAGTTTTGGAGTTTGCGTCTGTATACAAAACAGATAGCCAGCTTCAGCTTCTTGCTTTTTTCCAATGATGGCATAAATACTTGCTAACTTCAAGGAAATTTCTACTATGGTGTTATGGTTAATGTCCATTCCCTAATGTTGAGAAAAATGGAAGACAAAAATCATTAAATAGCAGGATACTGATGTAATAAGGCAAATTTAATGCAACAATAATTATTTCATATAGGAAACACTTTTTTTTACCTTCTTACAAAGCTTTATTTACAAATATGCACAATAATGCATTTTATCATGTATTTAAACACAACAATAAAATTTTTGGAGAACGATTCACATAGTTAACCCTATGACTGTCAAAAAAATTTCTATAGCGTCAAGCCATTTTTAGCTATTTCATATGCTTATCAAAAATGACAAAAAGCACAAATTAAATGAATTCAGAGACCCTTACAAATATTTTCTGAAAGTAAATTGGACAAGGTATGTTATGGTATGAAAGAATTTGTTTTTATATTATGCATGTTTATATTGACCTCGACCTTTACAGAGCGAGTAAAATTTTAGTACTCAATTTCTGAATTCGACACACCCTATATACTCCATAAATTGTATAAACTATCATAAAATCAAGTTTCTTTTTTAATAGAAGCAACATCCTTTCAGAAAATGTCAAGTTATAGTTACTTATATTGGAAAGTGTAATATTGGTGAATTTGAGTTCAAAAATTCCTTTTCATTTGAAGTTATTAAATCCATTTATTTATTAATTAATACTCCAAAAAAAACCAAGTAAACACACTGATAGTAACAGAAATAGGAAGCAAACTCATTTATATGGAGTGATTTCCCCTTTAACAATTTACATTAAATCAATTCACATTTTTAATGACGATTTTGCTAGCGCTGATATATCGGCCACGGCACCACAGACAGGGGTATAAGGCCTGATCATCGGCCATTATGACAGTTATAGGGTTAAAAAGTAATAACTTAATTTCAATTTAGTTTACCTGCTGCAAGCAACCTTTCATTGTGTCCTTATACAAGGCCTCAGCTGTCTCTATTTGACCAGTCTGCATTGCAATATCAGCCAAGCCATCATACATTAGAATACGAGCAGTAAGAAACTTTTCTTCTGTTATATCTTTCGCTTCCACAAGATGACTTGCCAGCTGAGGTTAAACAAAAATGCAATTTTTTTTATCTATTTGATCAACACAATAAAATCTAAATCACCAAATAACCAAACTACTGTGGAATACTGCAACAGACTTTTTTACCCCTGGGTTAGTGTCAGAGTAATTTTAACCTCTCAAAAACATAGTTTCAAGCTCCAAAGAGTAGTTTGGTCGGGGGGGGGGGGTGGCTGGTTTGCAATCAAAATACGATTTGTGACAGGAAATCCACTCAACTGCTTATAAATATAACATAATAAATTTACGAGATATAGTTCTCTGACTTTTTTCTTAAGGATGAGAAAAGGTCAAGCACAAAAGGCACTGACTGCACAGACTTGCTTGCCCGTTTACGCATAAGTGAGCTAAAAAATTCATGACTATTACAACACAACAGTTTTTTTTCCCCGTAATATGAAAATAAGTATGAGATTTATATTTGTAAAAGTAAAAACAATATTGAAACCCAAAAACAAAATTTACCCATAAAGATGAATAACATGTATATATTATTAAATTTCATAGCAATAGCGCAAATTTTTTTATCGGTTTATTTAAAAAGATTTTACGATTTTTTGCCTAGATTTTGAAAGTCCTGAAAAAGTTTAGTAATGTGTCCAGTCTCTGTTGGATCTAGAACACGTATTTAGCTACCACAAGAAGAAAACATCTTTTCATTTACGGAGTCCATGTATTTTTCTTGCGAGGAAAATGAACAGTTAGAGTAAACACAACAGTTTTTTTTCCCCGTAATATGAAAATAAGTATGAGATTTATATTTGTAAAAGTAAAAACAATATTGAAACCCAAAAACAAAATTTACCCATAAAGATGAATAACATGTATATATTATTAAATTTCATAGCAATAGCGCAAATTTTTTTATCGGTTTATTTAAAAAGATTTTACGATTTTTTGCCTAGATTTTGAAAGTCCTGAAAAAGTTTAGTAATGTGTCCAGTCTCTGTTGGATCTAGAACACGTATTTAGCTACCACAAGAAGAAAACATCTTTTCATTTACGGAGTCCATGTATTTTTCTTGCGAGGAAAATGAACAGTTAGAGTAAACACACTTTAGTGTCAATAAAAGCTCTGCAATCAGGGTTTCATATTTGGAAACATAAATTAAGAGTTGACTGAGAGGTTCCAGAAGTGGACACCTGAGGTGGGTGATTAAAATGACTGTCTTTTCTTAAACATTTTTTGCCTCCAAATGGCACATGAGGACTGTCCGACAAATTTGCTTAATATCAATAAATTTATCAGAGTGTAGCAGTGATGACTTGTTCAATGTTGATTGTTCTCCTAACCATCATCAGTTTTAAAAGATGCTGTTAGGCATTATTTTATTAACCCTAGACCCTGAATAAATAAACAAAAAAAGAATTAATAAATTATCATATTAGGCTCATAGAAGAACATATATCATATAGACTATTATACCATTTATACCAGTATTAATATGGAAGAGATACTAAAACAGGCCCGTGCAGTGATGTAGGACTGAGCCAGCGAAGTGTGGAAGAATGGGTATCAAGAATTTTTTGAACAATGAAAATTGAAATGATGGCATTTAGTGTTAATTTTGCATTGTTATTAGTGAACTACCAAAAAAAGAAATTAATGAAATAAATTACGCCTTTAATTCTTTTAACCCTTTCTTTACCGATGACGTCGACGCGATGTCACTATCACCCACCTTCACTTACCAAGGACGTCACATTGTTGTCATAACAAAGAGGCAAAGAACTTTTCTGAAATACCAAGGACGTCACGTCGACGTCATATTTCAATGCTCTATATTTCTTTATCCATTAATCTATAGAGAAGTTGATCAGCCAATCGGATACAGAATGAAAAATACCAAAAGTTGCTTATTTTTTTTATATAAAAAAAAGATGGAATAAGTTTTTTATTGCTGAGTGAGCAAAAATCGATGCCCCACACCAGCAGTACTGAAAGGCTTAGGCTAGATCATACTAGATATTACTGTTATATTGTAGATTTTTAAAAAAGAGACTATTACAAAGATAACAAAGTACTGTTAAATTTAAAGATTAAAAACAAGTTTTCTCTACTTTCATCATAATCATAGCATATGGTAGAATAACGACTCATACCATAAGCTTCAATTATTACTATTATTTGAATTAATATTTTTATTATCATTAGGCTTACTGTAAGACTGGAGAAAAAAGTATTCTAAGCTTAGTAAATGTTAATCTAAAACTTAGTATAGTAGACAATAGACTAACCATTTTATTTTTGGTCATCTGACACATAGTTGACATTGACATAGTTTTCTTTTCTTTAAAATGGCTATCTAACAATTAAAAGCTAGAAAAACTATATCAAAATAATTATTGATTTTAATAAAATAATTGTACACTTTTCTTACCCCTAAATATGTTGATAGGAGAACAGGAAAAAACTTCCAAGGCATTCTGATATAAAATATCATTGCTTTTAAATAATACAAAAACATACGAAATGTGGATTAGCGCTTGGGCAATCAAAGAGAAACCTCTAAAAGAAAAATATTTTGGTTGCCTCATTAAGACTGAGAACACAAAGGCCAGTCAATCACTGATTTTCTTTTTTGATTGCTTACAGTGTTAACACACACAAAAATGCGGTAACATTTTACTGAAAACACCGCAATTATTATTTTTTTTATGTACCGCTAAAAAAAAACAACGAAAAAAAGCCTGACATCGTTGGTTTTTTTTTGGCTCGTCATTGTGCCGTAGTATTAGGATTTAAAACATAGTTACTATGGCGGAAGTGTAGGGGTTAACAGGTCTGCTGCTAGCAAAAACAATACAAATAAGAAATATTATATGTCACCTTGAGGCATTCATGGTAAAGATTATCAGCTTCCTTTAAATCTTGTCTCATGTGTGCAAGTCTGGCATCTCTGTACTTTTGTGTCAGCGGGTCCACAGCTTCTTCATCCTTCTTGCCGAAGTTAATGCCAAGCAAAGCAAACGATAAGGTACCACTAACTAGTAAGGCAGCTCTTGACTTGGTCCCTGTGCTGTATTGAATAGTCCAAATGGCCACAAGATATAGAAATGGATACCATTAGTATAGCTATACCTAACTTTAGTTTTATGGTCAAGAATTAATATATTTGTTGTTTAGCCTACAATGAGCCTGAAGGCAATCAATGAAATTTTTCAATCATATAATCTTGTGAATCTAAAACAAAATAAGTATTAAAAAAATTAACAATAAAACTAATTGGTAAATTTAAAAAATGTACTTGAGTTTGCGGTCAGCACTAAATAATTCATAACTTTTGAACCACTTGCCACTTGAGCTAGAAAGTTGAACTTGGTGTTTTTGTAAACCATTCAATGGTCTCTACTCTATTCAACTGTTTTGCGTTAATGGCATTAAGGGCCAGCGTATGGTGTGTACTATGCATGGCAGTCATGCAGAAGCCAAGATTGGACTGAAATGTCTCATTTTCACCTCAATTTCCATTCTGGTTTCGGCGCCAATTAGAATATTTTACACACCATCTGCATCCCTAGCGCCACAGCGCCAATTCTGACTGCATTTATATTTTTAGAAATATTAGAATTTGAAAATTTCACTGTCAAAGTACCAGTACATATTTTCTGTTATGCCATGACATGTTAACTAACTTATTTAATAATAATTTTTTTTTTTTAAATTAATAAATATAAATACCTTCACCTTAACTACAATTAATAAAAGATGAATTATTCATTGAATTGATTACCAAATCCATTCATCAAAACCAATGAAATAGCACCACTGTCCACAAATTAAAAACTCGGCTTCTTCTGCGCTGATTCCCATACCGTATGCGCCGATTCCCATACCATATACGCCGATTCTCATACCATATACGGTGCAAATTTTACCATTTTTTAGGCCGGCACTACGTACACTTTGGCGGTGTACCTAGCGAACCTATTGACTTTGGCCTGCATATACTGCGGTGGTGTACCTAGGTAAATCATTGTCTGTGGCCTGCGTACACTGCAGCGATTTAAAGACACCATGGTCTTTGCGAGTCTTTAACTTTATGGCCTAAACGGTATGTGTAGATTTAATGTTATAATCCTGTTAAAACTGAAAACTTTCGTACCTTGGGAGGAAGACTTTGAGGAAGTTCCACGCTTATTATTTATTGGAAGGGAGGGGGCTGGGGGTGTAATGTTAAAGCATGATTTATTTTTAAAGTTAACCACTTTATTTCCCCCCATATATTGAAATACAAATATATTTATTAATTGTTGTAAGTTTTATCCTATGATTGTGAATCTTAGTAGAAATAAAAGGGGTAGCTAATTTGAAATTATTATTCCCCCCCCCCTATGTTTTTTTTTTTGGGGGGGGGGGCATTATATTAATTATAATTATAACATTGTATGTGATCCTTCGGGACGTGGTGTAAAAATGAATGGGAAGCCAGTGTATCTATTTTGTTAGCACCAAGATATAATTATGCCACAAATACATTACGGGAAGAGAATCACATACACTGATAATGAAATCGTGAAGTTAAAGTTGTCCCAGGAATTGTCATTGTGATATCAAGCGATTATCAACACAAAACAACATGATGATCAATACGAAACACTGCAGTGATTTTTAAAAGTCTTTTAACAATAATTAAATATTATTGAATTGGTTTTACAATGGCATTACACTTACACAGTTAGTAAAAAATGCTGGTGGACATCAGCACCCCCACTCTCCGGGTTTGGGGGGGATGCAAAAGGTACGTTTGTTGTGGGGACATCCTTTGTGGACAACCCCTATCCAGAGCCGTGATTTGTGTAGGCCCCCTTTTTGGTTAACTCTCTGCCCATAACTCAACTCCAGCCCCCGGCAAAGCCGATTTCTTAACAAAAAACAACAAATAAAAAAAAAAAACGTTGAAATAGCGCAAATCCTGTCCCAAGCGCATTGTGCAATGGTTTCTGTGAGAAAACGTCGTGTGTACGCATCCATTTCGTTTTTTTTTAACAGTCACCCATGCTTTACTTTACTCAAGTACCTAATTTAATTAGACTTAACTTACCTAGTCTTACTTTTACTATCTCCGCTTGAGTTTGGTTTTTATTTTCTTCTAAATTTTATTAGATTTAAATTAGTATAGCATTTCTGATTTCATTTCATTAGATAATCATTTTAATTTTAATAAATTAAAATAAAAGAAACATTGTGAACTAACCGGTATTTAATTGCGGGTGTTGTGAAAAATCTTGCTGGCGTTAAGTTATGCTGTTCCCGTCGGATACACAATTTAAAACAGTTTAACTTTAATTGTTGTCCGACATTCACACTGCTAGAGCACAGTTTCCGTGCTATGGAGGTCGCCATTTTTTCGAAGAGGGAGCAACTATTGTATTTTTTCAGCATAGGTGTTGATCTTAATCGTCTTGGGCAATCCTAGAGGTCGTTCGCAAATTACGGGGGGGGGGGGGGGGGGGGGGGGTCCGAGCATTTGTGATAGGGGAGTGGGAGGGGGTGTCAAAAATTTTTGACGTCACAATTGTAAATGGACGACGACAATCCAGGCTCTCCATGATGTACAAGATAAATAATGGGCTGGTCCACTGTTCCAGTATTAAACTTTAAACAGAAACTAGCCCCTCTCCCCCATAGACAGCGACGAGGCCATGACAGGCAATTCAGGCTCATACCAGCAAGAAGCCAATATAGAGTATAGGAGCTGCTCATTCCTGTCCAAGACAATCAGGGGCTGGAACAATCTTTCAAAAGGAGCGGTTGAGGCGACAACACTAGACACATTTGTGTCTATTGCCTCAAGCCTTCAAACCCCTAGTGCATGATTCCTTTACAAAGTGGCACTGGAAATCTATGAAATTTCCTCATCAACACCAGGAACAGAAACATTGCAAATCCCATCTACATGCATAGGAGCCAAAAATGATCAATAAATTGATCGTGGGCCCTTAAGATAAAGAAGAACAAGAATTATATTATATATATATATATATATATATATATATATATATATATATATATATATATATATATATATATATATACCGGTATATATAATATAAAGACATGTACATATATATATTTTTTAATTTTCTAATTTGAAAAAAATCTTTATTCAATTACTTTTAAAAACAATGATTTGAGGTCGAAATTGCCTCAGGTATTTTAGGTACCCTGAAACTCACTGTTGTGGCCATTTTACATTCGGCTTGTGGATGATATCGTTGCATTGCGTCACAGTTATCTAATAATACTACATCTTAATCCCTTATGAGAAAATGTTAATTAATAAAATAAAATCTTATTTTAGTTATGAACATTTTATGTATGTTTTGAATTTTTTTAGGGTGACGTGACACTAAAAAGGGGGTACAGAATTTGTAACACTTTGTGACGGGGGGAGGGGGTCTTCAAAGGTCTTTTTTTTGCTTGACGTAATTTGCGAACAACCCTTTATGCACCCCTACGCTTTTATTACCGGATAAACTTATTTGATAAGGCAATGAAACTCAACTCGGGATATGTTTAACAGTGAACCATAGAATTATAAGCCGTGTACAATCATACAATACATATAATATTACAATAATCATAGTGAGCTTATGGTATGGGGCCCTTGGGGCCGTCCATAAAGTACGGCAGGCTATTTTTGACCATTTTACCCCCCCCCCATGTCACAAACTGTCACAATCTTGGTCCCCCCCCCCCCCCCCCCCAAGTGCGTCACACTTTCGAACACATTTAAAAAAAAAAAATTAACACCTAATTAAAATTTAATCTAAAACACACTTCACTATTAAACTTTATTAAACTATACAATTTCCACGTAAAAGAACTATCACATTATTAAAATTATTTTAATAGTAGAATAGTTAATTGTCAACAGTTGTCACATTTATTCATTGAAGCAGTAACTCAATCTAGATTGTATTTTTAAACGAAAATTGCAAAAAATTGACTAGACAATTATATAATACACGTCATTTATCTGCTGCTTTTTCATTTACAAAAGGTGATGTCAAGTTTTAGATAATTTCCGAATATGCAATCTTTTTACACAGGATAAGAATTAAATTAGCGAAACTTGACCTCACCCAGTGATTGATTAAATAATAAAAAGGAAACAAAACAATTTGACTAAAAAAAAGACTAGATTGACAAATTATGTGACAAACTCTTGTGCTATATTGAATCTGTTTATTGTAGGCCTGTGAATTATGTTTAATTAAAAAATATTCACTGGACATCATCCATCCATGAACAAGTGAAGTGTTCATCCATAGTTACGACTGGCATCAATCTTTCACCATCATCATTTTCTGGAAGTATAATTGCAGCCAGATCAACTTCATCCTCATCTAGCTACTTAACATCCTCTGAATGTGCATTTTCTCTTCTGACAATAACTGCCATGAGTTCTCTTTGCCTTCTAGCAGCGATTCTCAAAGGACTGATGCGTTTTATCTGAGTTGATTCTGGAACAGTTTTGGTTGGCACATTCTCCCGAGCCCGAGCTCTGTGTTGTCCTGCATGTTTCTTCGACATTGTTTGTGAGGCAAAGTATAAGTGACATACTTTGCAAATTCGATCAAGTAAGCTGGTCTGCAAAGATGGACAATAAAGATGGACAATAAAGATCATATGGTTGTACTTTGAAAACTCCTGTTGATCTCGGCAAGGCTGTACATAAAACAAGGCACCGTAACAGCATACTAGCGCTCCTAGCGAGAGGAATCGTGAACAACTCATTCAGGAGATACGCATTTCATGCTATATTGACATAAAACTAATTCAAATGTTTCACAAAATTTTGAAAATGATTTTTAAAGCTATTAAATTCTACTAAAAAATAAATAAAAATAAATAAGAAATAAAATTTAAAAAATAAATGTGTGGCATCACACATGGCCTGACCCCCCCCCCCCTGTCACAAACAGTCACACTTTCTTTAAAATTTTAAAAATGATTTTTAAAACTAATAAATTCAACTAAAAAATAAAAAAAAATAAATAAGAAATAAAATTTAAAAAATAAAAGTGTGGCATCCCACATGGCCCGCCCCCCCCCCCCTGTCACAAACAGTCACACTTTCTTACACCCCCTCCCCCCCCTCTGGAGCGTGACGTACTTTATGGACGGCCCCTAACGGCTCCTAGCTGATGCCAGGGCAGCCTTGAAGCTTTCGACCGATGTGTTTTCTTTTAATTAATATGCTACTTTTGTAACAGTTTCCTGAATAACAGAGGTTAAACAAAATACGTAGACTATACAATTTATTATGCCCCACCTATTTGCACTGATTTTTTTAAAATTTATGTTTTTTATCTAAATAAGAATCTATCTGACTTTTATTAATTTTTTTAAAGAAAGATTTTTGTGAACTAGCATTTCGATGATCATGTCAATTATATAAAAAGAAATTTTGTTGGTACGAGTGTTAAAAAAAATAAAAAATCTTGCACCCAATTTGTTCAATTTAAAATAAATTCTGTGGATTTTGTTTTAAAAAAAGTGTTTTAAAGTATCTCTAAAGACACTTTGTAATTTATCCGAAAAAAATAATAGTATTTTTAAATTTAAAAAAAAAAAAAAAAAAAAAAAAAAAAAAAAAAAAAAAAAAAAAAAAAAAAAAAAAAAAAAAAAAAAAAAACAACAACAACAAACAAACAAAAAAACCCAAATATTTCAATTAACTGAATATTGGGAAATATATACTTTTTTTGAATACGATTTCCCTTAGATAAAATCACACAATATAATGTCTTTTGTAAACAACTCACGCCTTTTTAAAACAGTTATGCCGTTCATAGATGAATATGATTTATAAAAATGACCAGTTTTCAAAGCCCATAAAAATGTATAGAATTTTCTAATTAACAGTTCCATTTTTATTTTTGACTCTGGTAAAATTTGAATTTTATTTGAAAAGGTATTATAAGTAAAGCTTTTTTTTTTTTTTTTCCAATTGGCGTGCAGCAGATAAAATAATGTTTGCAGTGCGTTTTAGTGATGAAAACCTTTTTATTATTTTTTGTGTATGTGTTGAAAATTCATTCATTAAGTAGCTATCTCTCAAAATAATGTTAATAAAAAAATTAAAGCCATGTTACTATTTTTAGTAATATTCAATTTTTAATTTTTTTTTTTTTGCAGGTCAAGCACTTTTCCGTTTTGAAAGCAGACCTGGCAACCCTAGCTAGGTCTAACCGTTTTTTTCAGAAAAGGATAACCATTCACACGTAAATTTTCCTCACCCGTAGCCAATCCAATTTCTTGCTTTATTAAAAGTTCAAGGTTGATGCGTCAGAAAAGAGGTGACCCTTTCATTAGGTCAGAAAACAACGTTTTGACAATGATGCAACGCCGATTTGAGGGTAGGTAACTTTCGAAAGTGACAGGAATCTAAATTTATCTAAATTCTGAGAAATAAAGATGTCCATTGATACCAAATACGTTGTGGTCGGGCGATTCTTTTTACATGAATTGGATCGGTAAAAATTAAAAATATTAACAAATGACATTTTACCCATTTATAAGGTTTACAAAATTATTTAATTGTTTTTCCCTAATATCTTTTAATAATTAAGGTCTTTTATATGCTGTTTGTGATTTCACGTTTCTCTGCAACCCTTAACATTGGGCTTATCTACTTAAAGAAGTTAATCCTACTCAACAGTAGTGGCGTCACTAGGGGGTGCGGACCGCACCGGGTGACACTATCTCAGGGGTGACACCAAATTGAAAAATTGCATATTTACAGAGAAAAAAAAACTGCTCGGTCTAATCGAATTTCATCAAAGGATAACCGATCACGTGTCAATTTTGCCCACCCGTAAGCAATCCACATGCGTGATTTATGAAAAGTTCAAGGTTGATGCCTCATGAATGGGGTGACTCTATAATTATTAGGTCAGAAAAACACCGTTTTGCCATGATTGAAGTGTTCGGTAACTTTCGTAAGTGACAGGAAGCTAGATTTATCTAAATTCTGAGAAGTAAAGCTTTCCATTGATACCAAATACCATGTGGTCGAAACGAGCGATTCTCAGTACATGAATCGAATCGGTAAAAATTCTACACTTTAAAAAATTTCATTTTACCCATTTTTAGAGTTAGCAAAATAATATTTTACAAAATTTTCAAATATCTTTTATTTAAATGTAAAAAAAAAAATGTTTTTTTTTAATACAAATATTAAACTTATGAAATACTCAAAAATAAATATTTTCGCCGATTCGCCACTAGCACCGCCCCTTAACATTTGAGCACTAGGCCTATTGTCAAACAGCACATAGTCTTTTACATGCTGAAGTTAATCTTACAGTATCTGCATGCAAAAGGCTTTACTCTTGACAAAGTGGTGACCAACCTAGAGGCCTCAAGATTGTTTTCTCCACGAGAAGCGATGTAACTTGGTGGAACATGCCATTGAAAGGCACTCTTA